AGTCAGATTTGCTCCTATCCATTGACCGGCGCCCGGCCGATTGAGTATTTGTTCAAATCGGTGCAAATGTGATTCGGGCCTAACTGTGTATACGTGTACAGGAACACATAAGCCAAAGCCAATTGTACTTTGAGCTTGAATAATGTAATAAATCTATTTTTATCATGAAATAAAGTAAAAATCCCCGTGTTAAGTTTGAAAATATGTTTTTATCATTCATTTACCATTTGTCATGACTTTAAAAGTTTTTTTGTTTTTTTCTTTTTTTAATAAAATGATTAAAAAAAAAAATTTAGAAATAATTTTTGAAAAAACGATGTAAGCTTTCCATTTCTCAAATATTCAAAGGATTGGTATCGATGTGGTGAACTGATTCAACAATGTTTTTCTCTTAAACCAATTATTGAACACATTCTGTAAAAAACACGGACCTTTATGTAATTTTGACTGATTGACAACAATTTAATGCGAAAATTATTTATATATATTTTATATAACAGTTTTTGTTAAAAAAAATTTTGTTTTTCAGGGCAATTGTTTTTTGTTCCTGTTTACCAATTCTTGAGAATGAAATAAAACATCTTTCCGAAGCTTGTTGGAACAAAATAGCATATATAACATTTTCTTAGACCTCTCAATATTGTAGTTATACAAAGGAAATTTTCGTTGATTTAACAAAAAGTATTCAAAAAATTAAATCAAAAAAAATATTTCAATAATAAAATGCCATATTTAATGTACCACTTCAATGTTTTAGCATATAAAAATATTTTGCAACCTAAGTGATGTCATTATAACTCACTCGGGTGGCAAAAACTTTTTGAAAAAATTGAAATTTTATCCATGTCAATCTTTTCTAAATATGCTAAACTTCAGAAGTAAACCAATGTTGATTGTCTAACCAGATAATAAGGAAGAATATATAATGTTTTAGATATTATTTTACCATTGGTTTCTATGAAAACTAACATTTTGAAATGCATTTTTCTCTGAACCATTTTCACGCATTGATGAGTTCATTTCAGCCTTATTTATGAACAAATTTTCTTAATTTTTCGGCAAAAACATGTGAGGATGAATGATATGCATTGGTATGGATTATCACTTATTAAAAGATACTTGTGACCTCTAAAAGTTAGTTTTGAATAAATTCACGATTTTTCGAACAAAAAGTTCTTCAAAAACCACTTTTTGAAATAAAAAAGGTTTCACACATCACACTTTGTTAACATTGGGTAAGACTACAATATAAGCCAAACTTTATATGGGGGCTTTAAGAGTGCAAAAGATTTGTAAAACCACTATTACTATGTAAAAATGGCTCTCGGTTGGCTGGTATTATTTATTTAAGAAATATAGACCGAAGAGCAGGGGTATTGTCATCGAATACAACCCGCAGGGCTAGACGATAGTACACCTGCTCTGGGGTCTATATTACGATTCGAAAATTAAGAAATATAGACCGAAGAGCAGGGGTAATTGTGCTTAGCTCTAAGGAGTGTATTTGACGATATTACCCCTGATCTGAGATTCTGAGGTCTATATTACGATTCGAACATGAAAACTAACCAAAATGTTTCGAATATTCATTATGGTCCGCCATTACTACAGCCCGCCGTTGTGACGTCACGCATACTTTTGACTTTGTTCACAGTTTATTGAAGGCGTGAAAACAGTCATGCTCAAATTAAGAAATATAGACCGAAGAGCAGGGGTAATTGTGCTTAGCTCTAAGGGGTGTATTTGACGATATTACCCCTGATCTGAGATTCTGAGGTCTATATTACGATTCGAACATGAAAACTAACCAAAATGTTTCGAATATTCATTATGGTCCGCCATTACTACAGCCCGCCGTTGTGACGTCACACATACTTTTGACTTTGTTCACAGTTTATTGAAGGCGTGAAAACAGTCATGCTCAAATTAAGAAAAATATAGACCGAAGAGCAGGGGTAATTGTGCTTAGCTCTAAGGGGTGTATTTGACGATATTACCCCTGATCTGAGATTCTGAGGTCTATATTACGATTCGAACATGAAAACTAACCATAATGTTTCGAATATTCATTATGGTCCGCCATTACTACAGCCCGCCGTTGTGACGTCACACATTACTCGTATTACCAGGGGTATTCTTCACGAATATACCCCGGGTGAAATGATGACTTTATTTACAGTTTATAGAAGGCGTGAATACAGTCATGTTCGAATTCTATTTATTCATTCACAACAGTAGCAAACAAATTAAATACTTACAAAATTGACTGTCAAGCAAGAAATGCTGTTCGACTTCAATGATGGATGTCTAGATGATATTAATTTGATTTTGTAGTCTTCTTTACCCTTCGAACTACCTCTGTTGTTTCACTTCTTTATAGCTTCCCCGAACAAGCTATACCTGCTAATCAGTTTTGCAATGGCGCATCATTCAGAGATAATATTTATCAGACCACTTTTTTTATCAGACATTCATTGTTCTTAAATGTAAGTCAATTGTTTGAGTACGTATATTTATCACATTACATGTGTATCATACCTACTTGAATAAATGTAATATTATATCTTGGGTCAACGTCATTTTTCTGATTTTAGTGAGCAAGAAAAAATCAATATTTCTCATTCAATTGTCCATATGATATGATTCACGGTGCGGTAGCCAAACTGCGTGCACACTTAGGCATGCGGTTTGTTTCGATCCCAAACTGCATGCCTATCAACATAGGCATTCATTTTACAAATTATTTGCGCATTTTACTTTCATGATATTTTCATCACATTCAAGATTTATTTTAATTTATTTAGAACGGGGCTGTGATTGTGGTATTGTTATTCCACAACAAGATGACGCAAACTGGAGTAGGCATTATAAAAGCATTGTTCAAACGGCTGAAAAGGGGCTTACAAGCACATAGTTTCAAATCTTACACCATGCCGTCATGATGGCGTAGACTTTTCATGGTTATCGCGATCGCTGCACGACCGTGCTTCGTCTGAACGAGAGTATCTCGATAACACCAAATATAAATATCACATAATCATCATGTTAAAAACTGCAAACGCATAAGGTCTCAACTACGAACACCACTTTTAAAACGTTGAACATCCTAAGTCGTAGAATTTGCGCAGTAGCCATGATATCGATCATCATCATCTATTTCAGTTGTATGTTCGAACATATTTGAATACTTTAATTCAGTAAAACACGATTATCTCAAAAAAGCATCTCTTATGAAACAGTGAAGATGTTTTAATATATTTTAAGGAATACTATATAGACATATAGATGAATAATAGATAAAACCATAAGAATAATTTATTGACCCAACTGCAAACATGTTGCCATGTTGGAAGTCAGTTTTAGTAAAATGTTTTGATTGTATCAAGCAACACTTTTATGTATTGTGATGCTCTCTTTTGAATGTGTACTAGTTAGTCTTAGTTCGCGTTATGCCTGGGTCACATAGGCGCCGGGCGCCGGCCGATGAGTAGTCATCGGCCGATTTCTAAATCGACCGGGCGCCGGCGACTTTTCACCGATGTCTTGATCTAATCGTGAGTATGGTCACATTAGTAAAGGCATCGTACGGCGCCCGCAATCAATTGAATCTGAAAGACATTGCACGGGTATCGCAAGGCTATCTGCCGATGGCCGTACGGCACCCGCCAGGACATCGGTCGATCTACAGGCCTCTAGATTTATACTTAATTCTTGTATGACCCAGTATGACTGTTCCACATGGCGTGAATGCAAGATTCGAAAACGAAATACTTCGATAGACAGGACTTCCAGGTTAATAATGTTTTCATGCAATAAAAATCGGAAAAAGAAGATCCTCTTTTCGAGTAAATAGGTTCAATATTTAGAAAAAATGCTGACATGGGGTCCCTATTCATAATTTTTCAAATTGTTTGATTCATATTTATACTATCATGGGTACTCCAATTGAAAGGAAACACATTGTTTTAATAAAAACACTGTATTTATACCCAGAAAGTACTCATGGTGAAAGTTATGACCGTCTAAAATCACTTGCCATACTGCACGTGGTCTTTTCATCAAAGTGCACCCTGACCTTAATTTATTTTTAAATCTTATTATAAACAAATATTATGTCTACCTATATATGGCCCATTGGCCTAATCCCCTCTATCCTTAGCCTTTGGCATATTAACTGTAATTATTGAGACAGTGAACTTCGTATTAAAATTGTGACTATTCACAAAATCAGTCAGAAGATTTTTTTAAATAAATGATTTGTAATTGCTAATGCATAAGTGAATATACGTATAAAAATGTATCACTCTATTCAATGTGTATGACAGACATACACGATTAATGTCAATATAAGAACGACTAGATCAACCCACCCACCCAGCCATTCAGATGTGTGTCATTGTTTTACAGTAAGCCTAATCGTTCCATTTATGTTTTATAAAAAATCTCTGACAGTATGTAGTAATTATAATAGTTCCTTACCTCATTATTTCTAGAACCTTTTTATCACTTTATAAGTAATCATTATTAAGATTTATGAAACAAATCAGCACGCAAAATCCCAAGATGACCGTGCGATGCCACCGGGCGCCGTAAGACGTAGGACGGGACACGGCCGGGTAGGTACCGATGAGTTTGCTTGAGAAAAAATCGCCAAGACATCGGCAACTTTTATCTCCGCGATGAAACTCTGCCGGCGCCCGTACGATGTCTAAAAATCGGCCGATGAGTGGCGATCATCGCCCGGCGCCCGTACGATGCCCGGGCTCGCCGACCGATTTTGAACAAAATACTAATCGGCCGGGCGCCGTAGTGAAAATCGGAGCCTATGTGACCAAGGCATTAATCATTAGATCGCCTGATTATCATATGCCTACTATAAATTACAACATATTCTTTATACTGTATACACTCACAAAGGTCATGCAAAACTTTGTAAATAATACTATATATAAGAAAATAAAGCTGATTGAATTAAATTGAAAATAACAAAACCATTTTTACCACGTGCTAAGAACCAGTATACAATTTATTTATTCTGTTTGATAGGAAAACAAGTAAAATGTGGCGTTCGATTTGCACATCGTTACCAGTTACGCCATCTACAGAATGAACATTGCCAGCATACCAAACCATCTAGGAAAATGGAATAAACATACAAGTTAAATTGTCTTAACATATCCATTATCTTCCTTACTTGGATTAATATACAATAATTTCTTCAGTTTCTATGATTGAAAATTGTTGTTTATTTCTATAATACATATACAGGGTGGTCCAAGAAAGTGAAAACCCCATCTTGCTTCTTTGGTTCACTTTTTGGACAACCCTGTATATGTACTATAGTCATAGAATTAAACAAAGATTCAGAATACAAGATTCAGAACCTCAACGAGGTATCTAAATATTTAAACAAAGGGGATCGATGATGATTACACAGCTAATGATACTAAACAAGGGGTGTCAAATAAGATTATATTTATACCTGTTTTTTGAAGATTCGAAATCTCCGAAGTGCACCATAGCAGTTATTTTATATTATCGAAACAAGGAGCGTCAAATAAGATTCGATCGACGAGAAAGTTAGCGATATCGGGATCAGTTCCTTTGAAGAGGTGATCAGCGGAGTGGGGCAGTTCAATATATTCTTCTTCCTCGTATTTCCCCTTCCTGGAAAGAGCAAGGTTGTCATGGAAACGTAAAACGTAAGACTCTTAGGAGTTTGAAATAGCAAATATGAAATATGGTACTCTTGTGACTTTGTCAAAATGTTGAACAGTGAATTCAGGTAAGGATACACTCCTTTTAATCTCCCATTTATGTACATCTTGACCCCTCATCCAGGTGAGGATTCACTCTCCTTTTAATCTTCCATTTATGTACAAGTTGACCCCTCATCCAGGTAAGGATACACTCCTTTTAATTTCCCATTAATGTACAAGTTGACCCCTCATCCAGGTAAGAATACACTCTCCTTTTGTTTTCCCATTAATGTTCATGTTAACCCCTGATCTAGTTAAGGACACACCTACATGATCTTATTGACATATTGGTTGTGATTAGCTAGGGCACTGCCATAACATTTTTTGATAAAAATAGCAACATATTTCAATAAAAAATATCATGTACATTTTCCATCAAAATATCTTTGATTTGCACAGATATTTACCTTTATTCAATTTTCAAATATTTTCAAGATTTCCGAAAAAGGTTAAACTAAATCTCATTTGACACTTTAAAAGTTCATTTACTCTGATAAGAATCATAATTTTAATATTTAATCACAATCAAGATCATGTAGGTGTGTATCCTTAGCTAGCTAGATCAGGGGTTAACATGAACGGGAAATCAAAATAATTTTGTATCCTTACTTGGATGAGGTCAACGTGTACATAAATGGGAGATTAAAAGGAGAGTTTATCCTTACCTGGATGAGGGGTTAGCATTGTACATTAATTGGAAATTAAAAGGAGAGTTTATCCTTACCTGGATGAGCTCGAGGGGTTAACATGTACATTAATGAGAGATTAAAAGGAGAGTGTATCCTTACCTGGATTAGGGGTCAACATGTACCGAAATTAAATCAAAAGGAGGGTGTATCCTTACCTAGATGTTAACATGAACATTAATAGGAAATTAAAAGGAGAGTGTATCCTTACCTATGTGGCTGTTGAATGACGTTAATAATCACGCCATCCTCTCTGAGTTTATCCTTGATTTTATATAAATCCTCTCTGTATCTTCTGAGAACCGTCAAGCCGTCAGTGTATAAATGTATGATCTTTGTTGTATGTTTGGAAGTTTTGAAAACCTCAACAGCCTGCTCTAATGCCTTGTGGGTATATGTCCTACATATGTCACCCTCTGATCTTCTCAGGTTAATTTTGTCTATTATATCCATGGTTTCGTCGATAGAGGCGGTATTATCTAAAAAATAACATGCAAATTACTCATTGACTTTAATTCTTTATATTGTTTCATCTATGAAAGATTTTTTTAATTTCAAGGAGGGATGGCAAAAGAGAGACACCAACCTGATACACTAAAAGATATTGAAAAATATTTCATTGTTAGCCATTACTAAAATCTCGGATCACGGATATTCAAAACATGTTATCATGTGACCTTTAAACGCAAAAGCCTCCTGGAGAAACAACAACTCTGTACCATTTTTATATTTTCAATTGAACTGTTTAGAAAATGTTTTCCCAGTCATTGTCAGTGATATGCAATCTGACACTTGGCGATTGGCATAATGATGCAGTCTGCTGAGGAGGAATTGAGATAAATGCTCCCACGCAAGAGTACCGTCTCCCTTTATGGTACTTAGTCCAAGAAAATATCATGAACAATGATAAAAGGAGGAAGGATATTATATTTTTAGGAAAAATGGCGGCCATTTGGAATCCAGCGGCCATATTGAAAATTTGTTCTCAAGTAGAGGTTCTATGCCCACGAGGCATCAGCCTACTATTTTTTATAAATCAAATCTGTTGATCAGTATTTGAGTTAGTCCTGCACAGACGAACGAATAAATGGACGGAGGAGGAAATAAAAACCATACTCTGAATTGAATATCGCAAAATGCTTTTATGGTCTAATTATAATTTAATAATCAATAAAAGTAATGTGGCTTAGATAGAGGGCAGGATCGTCTCTCAAATCGCAATTACCAACCAGATTGGGTGATCCTTCTACATTCTGTTTGGATATGCGTTATCAAAAGAGCCTTTCCTTTTGCAAAAGGGTAGTACACTCAATTATAACCAAAGGTCTAAATATCTTAGCTAGGCAAAGAGGGGGCATACTCTAGGTTCAGAGAAGACATATCTTCCGTCAATGGAAAGTTCACATAGAGATGACAAATCGTTGCTGATTGGTCAAATGACGAAAAAATGGCGGACTCAATTTTTTTTGAAAACGCTTCGCATAATATTGTGTTAATTTCTGACGTATCATAGCTTGCTATTTTACATCAAGATAAGGAAAGATGTAAGGAATATGCTAACATCGATTAAAACTCCTTTGGTATTCGAAAACGAAGATGGCAGGCAGGAGACGTAATTATGTCTGTCATCTGTAAGCTCTTGAGGTTTCCCTCCTCTTACAGTTGCTAAGCACAATAAGTTGTGAAAGTTGCGCTGGGTTATTTTGAAATCGGTTTGCTAATGTATATAAAACGTGATAAAACAAAAACAAAAATGTGGTTTTCTCAACAAAGTAATATGGTTTTGTATTACTGCATTCCCAAACATCAGTTACACGGGTGTTAAGCCACGATGATACCATGCGCACATGCTTTGAGGATCCGCTTTGTTTGAACCTACCACCGAGCTCACTTATACATTAAGCCCCGTTACACAGTCATGATACCGCCGAGCAAGCTCATTGCATCATCGGGTCTGCTTTACCCCTGTGAGTTACATGTACTTACTGAAGAAAAGTTCATGGGTGTAACGTTCTCCGTAGGTCAGGAGTCCAATTCTCACGGCGTTGTTTCCATGGCTAAATCCCTCCAATAGTGACCTGGTTATCTTCTTAACAATCTCGCGTGATCTTTCCTTTATTCTCTGAGATAAGGAACACGATATATCGAGAATCATCTCAATGTCGGCACATACTGCAATAAATAGAATGTACAGGGTGTACATAAAGTATTTTTCCAATCCCAATAGAAAGTCTGTAAAAAGTAGATACTTTATCATATTCAGACCCGTAGCCAGGATTTGCCAAGGAGCGGTTCACTTTTTGAAAGATTCCAGGGGGGGGGTTCACTTGTGACAATTTTGGTCCTAAAATGGCCAAAATCACTAGAAGTGGTCAGAATAGTAAAAAACTGCATGATTTTGAAAGATTTTGTGGCTAAGGGGGGCTACAGGCCTGATGTTTATGGACACATTATGGACACATCTCGTTAATCATGTATGGTTTTATTCTCTCATCAGAAAATGAATATGTAATGTATCTTATTGTGGTAATTTAACAATACAGGCTTGATTGTTGGAAAATAGATCGAGGAGTTCTCTAAATATTTGGTTTAAATATAACACGAACAGCAAACCATTAAAGGAGGAGGATCCCTCTAAAATCAGAATGGTTTGAGAGAACATGAACTGACATACTTAGTGATCGAACCAGAGACTCGTCAAATCTTAAAATCCGCGCTCAAACCAATATTCATAGAATGATAAAAATCGTCAAACAAAACACTTGTTAATAAATAAAAACAATGACAAAGCGCCTTTGGTCTAATCATAGAATATATTGCAGATTCTTTGACTATGGTAATTAATTAATTAATTAAAAAATATAGTTACCATCAAACTCTCCTTCATCGATCCCTCGTCCGTCTACTTCGTTCACTTTCCTTAAGCTATTTCCAGCTGAAAATAATACGACAATATTGTCATTTATGATACTTTCTCTCAAATTGCTGGCTAGTCCCCACATTATAGAAATCAATAAAACCCTTTCCGTATCCGGTGGTCCAGGGGGCAGCACCTACAGGTCCAGGGGGCAGCACCTACATAGGCACTGGTTACAAGAGTCAAGGATCTTGAAGCAAGAAACAAATAACTCAAAAAGCGTAATAGTTATGGTTTTATATGTCTCTGGGTTATGTACAAGTTATGCCACATTGCTCATATTTTTATGACACTTCGACGCCATGTCATGATCAGTCACTTTGTATGACACTTTTAAATATGTATAGGCTTATATATAGTAAATACATACCTTTAATAAAAGATATGACATGTTATTTGATGCGTGACCAATATATTTACAATTTCAAATTGATCAAATCAGAGAGTGAATTATCAAAGATATAATATACAGGGTGTCCAATAAATAAGGTGAAAGATATTGTAACTTTCTGAATATTGCACCAATCTTGATGAAACTTTCAGAGACTGTAGCCCAAACCTTTTTACTTTTATTCTGTGAATTTAAAGCGTCTTCTATTTGATTGGCCAGAGTTGTGGTTGCTATAGCAACCGAAACAACAAAAAGGCGGGTCAAGTTTGTTTACGTCACAACTTTCAAAAACATATCTATTCTTTCTGATAGCTTTATTCATACTCCCAGGTCTATTACTACCACAGATACAATATAAAAACAGTCCTAAAGTCCCATTGTTATGAAAATAAGCTATTCAACATAATGACCATCTCTAGCTATACACTTCTTATGCCTATTCACCCACTCTCTAAACACACTTAGAAACCCATTCTTGCCCATTTCCTGAAGTCTTGCTAAGACGTGTGATCTGAGTTCATCAGTGCTTCCAAACAAGTCACGCTTGAGGTCTGCATATAAGTAAAAGTCATTGGGTGCAAGGTCTGGGGAATATGGAGGGTGTGCAAGTAGAGGTAGCCCCAGTGCCCTAATAGTTTCACTAGTGAGCATAGCTGTGTGTGAACTCAGAACACATGTCTCAGCAAGACTTCAGTTGAAATGGGCAAGAATGGGTTTGAAAGTGTGTTTAGAGAGTGGGTGAATAGGCATAAGAAGTGTATAGCTAGAGATGGACATTATGTTGAATAGCTTATTTTCATAACAATGGGACTTTAGGACTGTTTTTATATTGTATTTGTGGTAGTAATAGACTTGGGGGTATGATTAAGCTATCAGAAAGAATAAATATGTTTCGGAAAGTTGTGACGTAAACAAACTTGCCCCGCCATTTTTGTTGTTTCGGTTGCTATAGCAACCACAACTCTGGCCAATCAAATAGAAGATGCGTTAAATTCACAGAATAAGGGTAAGTAGATTTGGGCTACAAACTCTGAAGATTTCATCAAGATTGGTGCAATATTAAGAAAGATACAATATCATTCACCTTATTTATTGGACACCCTGCATGTTCTGTTTTCTTGCGATTTCGTTGATTTATTTGAAGCCACCATATAAAGTTTAAACCGCTTTGGCTTATGACTTTACCCAATGTTATCATAATGTTGTATGGAACTTTTCAATTTTATTTCAAGCACTTGATTTCGAAAGACTATTTGTTTGAAAATTTGTGAAGTTCAAATAAATTTTAGTTAAGCAAAATAAGCAAAAAATTAAACACAGAAAAATGGTTCAGAGAAAAAGCATTTTTAAATTTCAGTTTTCATAGAATTCAATGGTAAATAAATATTTAAAAGAATATGAAAAGTTATTTTTTTTACCTAGATAGACCAACAAAATTGCTCAAGTTTGAAAGTTTATAAATAAGCATATTGTACACTGTTTGAAATAATATAACTTATCTACGTGTATTCAATGGAGTATAGAGAGAAAATGGTGTGTTCCTTAAAAAACAAAATGTTTCAAATATTTTAATTAGATAGTACACAGAAAAATATTATGATTTAATTATAATAGCGACAATACGAGGGTTGTCCCAGAAGTAATGCACTATATGCTATTACTTTATCAATAATTGATATTTTAAACAACTGGGTTGCTTCTATGAATTGACTGAAGTATATTTTATCAATATTCAATATGTTTTAGTAACAGTATTATTTGTAGTAATCGTATCTTAAATAATGTACTAGAGAGCACCACTCACACAAAAAGTGTAGCTTTAAAATGGAAAAATAAAAATACATACCCGTTAAAATACTATTCATTTATGTTGAGAACTAGTAAAAGTACGTTTTGGTAAAAATACCGAGATCTCCATATTTGGAATTGATTCACTTACATTACCTTAAAATATTTTCGATCGATGATGTTATGTAATTTACACTATCAACATATTTGATATAAACCTTCTTTTTATAAATGTTAAGTTTGAAAAATCATCCCCTTATTAATTAAAAATTATGAATTAATTGCCTTTTAAAATTGAAAAATATGACTGCCAATTTAAAATGACATTATTCTTATTCAAAAATGCAATAACTCCTGGCTTTATAGTTCTAAACACGCTCGTCAGGTTGGATTCCACAACATAGTCAAATAAATATGTTCTCCCCTTTATCTCAAAAGTATGAACTTCTGTGCATAAAAGTGCATCTAGTTGAGCTAGTCATCTGAAACTTCTTGTGGAGAGCTCCATGAAGCGTATTTTGATGTACAACTCAGATATCATGTAAACAAAAAATTATGCAACACTGTGTGTATGCTAAAGTTAAGGGGGAGAACATATTTGACACCCTGACTATCATTTCAAAAGGAATATACGTCATGTAAGAAGAAATTGTACCCTGCGTGCAGAGTCAGGTTATAAACGAAGCTCTCTTTTAAGAAGTTAAGTTGAACGATGCAATTGTTGATCCGTTTTCATATTAAATCAATGGCAAATCCAGATTTCCTAAATTACTATTAGGGATACAGGGACGAATGAAAGGCATCTTATATAAAAAAAGATTCAGTTGCTATATTTTCATTTACTACAGTATCTTGAAGTCACCTCATTTACTGAACACCCTGTGCCTTGAAAGTCGAAGGTGTGAAATCGACAATGGCACACGAACGTGTCCCACGAACGTCTTAAAAATTATTGTGATTTGTAATAATAAGTTATTTTAATTAACTATTGTTATTTTGAAAAATATTTAGATTATTTATTATTGCCCCATCGTAACGAATATGTATGCGCATGTACCAATGGGAAAATACCAAAAATGTTTACAGAACACATCTAAGAGTACATCAGTCAAAAGGAAAACAATCCCCAACTATCCCATATCATAAGCCAACGTGAAGAGAAACAATATGTTATACCACTCCCCCACCATTTAAGTACCAATATCATAAACATAGCAAGACCACAGCATTAAGGGACATTTCATTTACCTTTAATGTTACTGGAATACTATCACAAAGTACATGTACATAAATTAAACTAAATTCATCAATTGTAACGTATATCTTAAAATCAAAATGTAAATTTATGAGACACGCTCCTTCTGGTTGAGCGACTTGGAGATGTTAAACGAGACATGGTCGATATTTGATATATGTTCCCTTTTCAAGTGTTTTAACGATGATACAAAAATCTTGAGCCTTAAATCAAACTCATACAGAAATGCTAAACCCCGTGTTTTTCTTTATCTTATTTTTTGTAAAATGGATACTTTAGATCCTCTTGCAACATCCTGTGCTGTTGGCATGTGGCATCCCTTTGGCATATTTTAAACATGAGAAACTCCGATCACCTTTGTCCACAGTTCAGCAGGCCTGTAGTCAGAGATGGTGAGGGGTCAGGGGGTTGCAAGCGAAACCCGCCTTGGACAAAATCTCTTTCAAAATCATGCAGTTTTTACCATTCTGAGCACTTGTTAAGTGATTTCGGGTCAACGTTGTCAAATGCAGACATCATATCAGAAAATGGATATTTGTAAACATTACAAGTATGTTCGATATTCAGTACTCCATATACGTATTTCTTGTAGATGTTTATTTTCCCGGGATTTTCAGCTAGTTTGAGCTGCTTCACTACTTTAAATGCTGAGTATAGAACATCTTGCAACTTGAGAAAATTGCAAGACTTTAAGAAATTAGTAATAATCTAAGTCTTAGTTCCAATCGAATGACGTAGTTTGCCAGTTTTGCGTGAGTAGTACCCCGCGAATGAATTAATTTTGGTTTGCAGAGATAGGCTGGAACGCACCGAACGAACTCAAATATATGGTATAGCCTGGTCAAGGATTAGGATTCTTCATTCATAAATATTTGTTCTTGAACCACTGCTTTATGAGTTAGACCCTGATTATATTGGGATAAGCTGCAGAGGTTGACACAAGAACGTTGCCGTTATATATTCATTTTGTAATAATTCTAAAATAACTTTCTCAATTATGATTGAACTTGGAATGTTCTTGTGGACAGTCTTTTTGCGGGATTTACGAGTAATTTTCGTTTCCCTATCGCTCAGATTACTCTTGCTTTCAAGTCTCTGGAACCCCTTATCTTCAGTCTTATCTACTCGCACTTCACTATAGCACACGTTGGGTGTGTGTCGTTGGTATCACAAGGGGTTGTAGCTAGCTGTCAAATTCACAGAACGAAAATATGAAACGCACAAAAACACCGGAAAAACGGGAAAATGAAATGTGCGCATCATCACATGCAATACCATCGAAATTGTACAAATTCAAACAAACTATTTTCTCACCTAGTACAACTTTGATCGCCGTGTCTTCCGGTTTGATGCTGATTTCGTTGATTTGACGCGCCCACTTCCGGTTTTCTCTTCCTACAACAGGTTTGCTTTGAATACTCCATACCAGGACAAAAATGTTAAAAAACCTGTAAATCATTGTGAAAAATCCTTTGCAAGGCTTACTAACGGAAGACAATTGAAGGCGATTTATTTCACGGTTTGAAAGGTGTTAATAAAACAATTACGAATTGTTTACGATCCGAGCATGCTATTCTTGACAGTGATTGATGTCAGAAACAGTTACAATGCTCTTTGCTGAACAATATACTTAAAATGTAGAATTGAAATTACGATGTAAATACCTGATTAGTTGATGTTTACATTTGTCAATTATCCGCTTAAGTTATTGTCAAGATCGATGAAAAGTATTTTAAACCTGTACAGATATAAGCTTGTTATTTGCTTTAACTGATCGATTAGATTTCGATATAAGTTATATCAAAATCAGGAAATTGCGCTGGCATATGTCAGAAAGGATATCAATTATTGCATTGGACCATATCTCCGTGTCCGTACAGTTCGTTCAGTGCGTTGCTTCCATGGTATTGTTGAACGAACTACTCGATCGGAGATTGGCATCGGGGCCGCCAAGATAATATTTCAGACTTTATCGGCGGCGCCCGGCCGATTGTGTATTTTGTTCAAAAGTGAGTGTCAAATCTCAAATTTTAGGTCAGGTGTAAACTCCTGAGAACTTGTATGTGATTTAAAAAAAAAGTTGGGTCAATTTGAAGCAAGTTAAAATCAGTTTTGAACAAAATACTGCAAATGGTCGGGCGCCGGTCGATGAATCGGAGCAAATGTACGACCTAGGCATCAGGAGTCATCCTAGTGGAATTTGAAAATTATGACATTCGTTGTATTCATCGGGCAATTAACAATTTTTTCGTTTTCGACATTCAGCACTTATAAATGTGTATATTACTAGGTCTATTTATGTCACTGCCACGAGGTTTAAGTCTCCAACTTTTTTGTAGACGATCGGCGTTCAGTATTCAGTAATTGGCGTATTTATTTGTATATATTTGTCCTAGCCTTAAAGTATATCAAGTACTTAATAAATTTAGCCCCGAATTAGAAAATGAACATATCTTCATCGCCGCTGATTCTTCAAATCATATTTTCAATTTCCCCCTGACGGATACAGGAATCAATGTAGTAAAACCAATTTTTATGTCGCCACACCAGAAGTGACATATTGTTAAAGTCTCCAACTTTTTTCGGAGAGTGTTCGGTGTTCGGCGGTTGATGTTAAGTGGTTGGTGTCTGTAACAAATGGCAGGTAGTGACATGTTATTGCCTTGTTTTATTTCAGATCAAAACTATTTATTTTTCCTACACGAAGCCTTTTGTTATACAGTTTCTGGCTATCAAGATATGTTGTGTTAATAGCTATCACATAACATAACACCATTCATGAGGGTATAATCGTAATTATATAATCCGCTGATCTTTCCACATGCCCAAGATGGCTAACATAACCGGAAGACCCCGAAAGGGTACTGGAGATTACTGAACACAATATGTAAGCACAATCGTTGTATGAATAACACAACAAGCAAAATGATGATGAATTGGTGCGTTTGTTTATGTTTCATTAATTCATCACATAATGTTAACAACCATTAACTAAACATATATATCTAATTGACCTAGGTCACAGTAAACACCTGTGACAAATAGGCAATTAAAACTATAGTTCAGGGCCGAGGCCCAGGAATATGTAATGAAATGTTTAAAAGCCCCCCCCCCGGTGCACTGCGTTGCAATTGGTAATACATAATTTATTTAAATATATATACTGAGACTTTTACATGCATAAGAAAGATTAGCGAATATGATGGATGTAACGCGAGAAACTTTATTTCAGTACATTTTATTTATCCAATGACAACAGGTAAGGTTTATGAGGTCGTGATTTAAACTTGCTTTTACAAACCTCTGTGCAAATACACAAAAACTTAACATCATAGTTCTATATAGTCCTTAAACAATACGCAGGCCTGTAGCCAGGATTTGCCAAGGGGGGGGGGGGGCACTTTTTGAAAAATTCCAGGGGGGGGTTAAACATTTTATTACATATATTCCTGTGCCTCGGCCCTGAAATTTTCACTTGTGACAATTTTTGTCCAAAAATGGCCAAAATCACTTTCAAAGTGCTCAGAATGGTGACGAACTGCGTGATTTTGAAATATATTTTGCCCAGGAATTTGAATCGCTAAGACTCTTTAATTCTTCTATCCACATATATGTACATGTATTTGTAAAGTCTAAAAAGTACAATCATTCCCTTTGAGATTGCGCTATACAGAATCGTTCTCCGAATAAAGGCCCACTTCGCGTATTTTTAATGTTTTCGGGCAAAATATAGACTTTTATTTGAATTCTATACAATGTCTAATGTATTGATAAGAAATCTATCTTTCATTTGACACCAACAACAGCTCAAACGGACCACATCAAAGCTTATAATAAATAATCAAAAAATTATTTCCGATCTGTCAAGCTTTATATATCAAGTTTTTAAAAGATGGCGAAGTTGTTTGTATTACATGATACATTCATTTTTATAGAAGTGTCGCCAACTTTTAAATCAAAAGTAATTAAAACATGCACTTTGTTTAGCATGTGCATGCATGTCTAATGATCTCTGAACTTCAAATGCTTTTTTCTAGGTGAGTTATTTTTTTCTTGATTCAATATTAAAACAAATCAAACTTTGTGTCAAATTTGAGCGAGTGTGTGAGCAATATGTTTCAATCATACTTTTTTCTTTTTTCTTCTAAATTAAGTATAATGGGCCTTTAAACATTCAAAATATGATTTCGAATGTTAAAGGTCATTCATTTATTTCTCATTTTATGATTTCCTTCCAGTGTTATATCCAGCCATCGATCCATTATATCGTAGCCAGGGGGGCTCGATGGGTTCGAGCGAACTCCCCCTCACCCTTGCCAAAAAATCTTTCAAAATTATGCAGTTTTTTACCATTCTGAATACTTTTTAAGTGAGTTTTGCCATTTTTAGATCAAAATTGTCACAAGTGACCCCCCCCACCTGGAATTTTTCAAAACCTGAACCCCCCTTGGCAAATCCTGGCTACGGTCCTGCATGATAGCTATATCATTTCGTAACGTTTAACATGTAAATCAAATATTCAACGTTCCTTTATTTGATAATTGTATTCATTGTATTCCTTCTTTAGGCACTTTGATAAGCCCAGGGTGAGTATCTGTAACATAGAATACAATAAACATTAGTATCAGGCCCGTAGCCTCGATGGGTTCGACCCCCCCCCGGCCAAAAATCTTTTAAAATCATGCAGTTCTACACCATTCTGAGCACTTTTTAAGTGATTTTGGCCATTTTTGGACCAAAATCCCCCCTGGACTTTTTCAAAAAGTGAACCCCCCTTGGTAAATCCTGGCTACGGGCCTGGGAATGGTATAAGGACAAAAAGAGTTGAGGGTATGGAATTTATTGCTCTAAAGTTAGCGATCCATATCATCGTGTGATTTTTTATCTAATTTATATGATTATTGTTTACATTCTTATGCAAATATTTATTGAAGAATTTATCGTTAAATATATCGATTAAATGTGGGAATGAAAACCCCTTACGTAAAAGGGCGTACGTCAAAGTAACGTAGCTTGGAGAACATTGGTAGCTACCTTAAGCAGAAATGAGACCTGATGAAAAATGAGATAGCGCCGATGCTCGGCAACCAAAGATGACCTGCGAGCGTAATTTCTATTTTTCAGGGCTAGGAATAGGGTTACAGGGGCGGATCCAGGATTTTGTGTTAGGGGGGGGGGGGGGCGTGTGATAATAACTGTGAGCGAATTGAAAAAAGAGTCAAATTTTGTAAAAAGCGATGAGACAAAAACACGAATTTTCCAACTTTTTAGGGGGGGGGGGCGTGCGCCCCCACGCCCCCGTCTAGATCCGCTGGTGAGTTAGGTTTAGGGTTAAATATATTTGGTAATTTTCGTTTACGTTACCCAATGACAAAAACTTACTATGGCGTTTTTGGACAAGGTGCATCATTCGCAATTTGTTCCATTACGGCATTAGCAACATCGGGGTCGGATCCATTGAAATAGTTTCGCTCGATATCATGTGGTAGTTTTACAAATTCTTCTTCCTCAAACTTTCCTTTCCTAAAATATAGAAACCATCTCCGTAAAACTGCACCATAAGTTGTATGGATTCACAGTTTATTTGACCTTATAATAGATTTATCCCATTTCACTGTGTTATCGTATTTACAAATTAAGGTACATGTATCTTGTAAGATCAAGCGAGCAACATTAGTCAACAACAATCATTAATTGTTTCAAACCTTTTTAGTTTTAGGTTCATATCAGTTCTTATTATGTCTATTTTCTCAAACTTCCCCAAAGTATAACGATTGTTATATTTATGTGTTATAAATTTATGATAAAGTGGTTATCTATATCATTGAATCTTTATATGGATCCATGGATCTTTTGGGGAAAATATATTTGAGACTATGAATTATACTTCAGCAAGCAAATTGAGCATCTTGCAACATCTTGCATGCAATTTCATCACCCTGTATTTTGTCTTTAACCCTGAAATGGTTTTTGGGGTCCCCAGAGCTCATTCTTTGCAATAATAATATCAGAAATAATCATTACATCAACATGAAATTCCATCTAATCCTCGATTAATTCAATTCCTTACAGATAAAACCAGATATAAATCGCATTATGACTTTTTGTGCTACCTGAGGCCAAAGAACATCACTATCACTGAAACATATTCAATTAATACAGTGTTATATATAAATGCTACGAAATGTTACAAAATGCTAAAACACCTGACCCCTTATGATTGGGTTTACGCATATTTCAATGCATTCGTGATAAATAATGCATATATATTCTGAAAGGTAATAGATTAACCTATGTAAAAGAATGAAAAAAGCTTCTCTGGTTGCAAAGTAATTGCAAAATATATCTTTGGACCCCAAAAACATTTAAGGGTAAATTGACATGATCGTTAAAACCTCTTATGGAGCAGCCACACTTTGGCTGGGTGAGGTCGACGTATGCCTGTGTGCGAGTACTTTGGGGCAGACGACGGGATTCAAATACAGAAATTAATTACTATAGTAATTGATAAAATTGATTCCCAAAATTAGCCACATGGTAGCGAATAACGGGGAGCCCAGTTGTGTCAGCAAAGAAGAATGGCAGAAATCGCATGCACCCCAGCGAATTAGAAAATAAATCATTTCGTACATTTCGAAACTGGTCACGTAAAAATGTACATTGCTGCTCTTGATTTTTGGCAAATATGACAACCATTTCTGAATAAATATCTCTGTAACGCTAAATATATTTGGCTGAACATTTCATTAAGATATATTGCAAAAACAAGAAAAAATGAGAGATATTATGTGAACTTTATGATCAACCCTCGAATTTAAAATTTAAAATGTTACCACATTAATTAATAAGTATTATAAGTACATACTTATGAGGCATTGAAACGACGTTTAAAATCACACCATCTTTCTTCAGTTCATTTCTTGTTTTGTACAACTTGTTTCTGTATCGACGAAAGAATGTAAGCCCATCAGTAATCAGCAGTATAAGTTGTGCAGTGTTATTTCGCTTGGTTGAGGACATTATAGTTTGTACCTCCTTCAAGGCTAAGTGGGTCATCGTTCTGCAAAGCTTGTCTTCTTTCTTCAAGTTCATATTGCTAAGTAAATTGACAACTTCATTGGTGGTTTTCTTGTTATCTAAAACAACCGAGGATTTGCTTTATGTGCTATTCTATCAATGGGGTCAAATGGAGAGAGTTCGTAAACGTTTTGCGGACCCTCTTCCCCATGGCCTCCTTGAAAAATCTGGCCTTAAATGTAAATCATTTTGAGAAGATTTAACTAACATCTGGATGTCTTCAAACGTTTTTCTTTTTATTGGTAGTGGTCAGGATTCTTATTAATTAATGCGCCTATTTTTGAAGGAAAAAGGACAAAATATTATTTGAGACATGTCACTCACACAGTCAATCAAATATGATAAAAACTTTAATTTGGGATAATACTGAAGTGAAAAAAAATTACTCGCATAGAAAACAGCATTTGAAGTTCAGAGATTGAAAAAAGTGAATTACCACTTTTCACAAAGTGTATATTTTAGATAACTCTTGGATTAAAAGATGGCGTATGCTTGAAAATCCTGTCAAAAATGAATGGATAATTAATGCAAACAACAATGCCATCTTTTTATGAAAAAAATATTTTTTCATGATCTAGTGTCAACTCTGATGTGGTCTGTTTGAACATTTTTGGTGTCAAATGAAAGATCGGGTACTTATTAATCCATTGGAAATACTATGAAGATCAAAAGTGAGACTTCATTTACGCACTTTGTCCCTTTAATTATATCCATACCATTTGGTATCTGAGCAAGAATATTTGGAAATTCGGAGAATACAAGAATATTCTGAAATTCGGAGAATACCGATTACCTAACGCCAATAACTGCTTTGTTGTTTCTCCATATATTAGGATTCCAACTCGCACTTTTTTGGTTTTGAGAGTAGGGTCAAAGCTTGTTGTCAAGGCACCGGCCAAAACTATGGCAATATCCCGGCTCCTTTGTTTCATTCTTTTCGAAAGTGAACATGATAGGTCGAGAACTATTTCAACATCGGCACAACCTGTAAATAGAATTGAAACACTCTAACATACATTTTTCGTCTAATCGCGTAAGAAAAGTAAAATAATCAGATAAAACATGTTATAACATAGACCATAGACCGCATTTCTTTGTAGTAAGTTATCAGATAGGGATTTATACATGCAATATCCGAAGTTGATGTAAATGATTTTCAAAGATGGCAGCTAAATTCAAAATGGCCGTCATTTTGAATGGAAAATGTAGATTTTGATGACTGTAATGCCAGAAATCGGATTTTGTCAAGCTTTAATAGGCTAGTTTCTTATGAGAAGAGGACATCTGTTCAAGAATTTTTTTGTCTGTTTTGTCTTCAAAATGCCCGCCATTTTTTCGAAAAATATATAAGTTTTGATAACTCAAATACCAGTTATCAGATTCGGTTCAGATTATAGACTTTACTTTATGGACATAGGACGCTGCTCAAGAATTGATTATTTGACAAGATGGCTCCTGAATTCGAAATAACTTCCATATTTCGTAAACGTGTAAACTTTGATAACTCATTTTTCGTTAAAAATGTAATTTTTGGTAACTTGAATTCCAGTCATTGGATGTGTCTAAATTATATAGCTAATTTTTCATTGAAGCATGACCTCTGACCTCTCATTATACTTACTTCTGAAACTTACATCGAACTTTAAGTCATTGATTCCACCTGAAGATATAAATTCACATTAAAATTATGATATTAAAATTGTTGATTAGTTTTAGATGTCAGTGGACATTTTCATTTGAGACATATGAGATAGATCGTGGTACTCTAGGAGCTAGCAAACATTTATAAGACATCTCGAGTACAAAAGGTTTGAGGCCTGTAATAAGTAGATGTGGGGGCGTTTTTTGAAATGCCCTTAAATTAGTTTTAAATGACATCTCGAGTACATCAATGAAACCTTTGTCAAAATGTTCCTTTGGACCATCTAAAACATTATGAGTCCTTAAGAGTAGTCAATTTTGGGGTTTAACCCATTTCTGAGTGAGTTAAAGGTCACCATGGATACAGCCACACACAATCAAAATGCTGTATCAGAGCCTTGTGAACTTGAATATATTTGATATTCTGATATATCCATAAAATATATAAGAAGACCTTGCTAACAAGCCACAATACATCAATCTATAACAACTGAATCCAGAGATATTGCACTTTTTGTCTCAATTTTGATCTGAATATGTACATTTTAAGTCTCGTCTAATTTGCATTCGTAGCTTCAAGCAAAAGGTGACAGCTTTAACAGCTCAAAATAGTATTCCAAGAATATTTCCAAGGTTTGTGTAATATTGTAATACAATTTTTATAATGATGAATCACTATTTTGTAATTTAAATATGACGTTATTGTGCCCTACCCCTTCAAAATAGAGGAAAGCAGGCATAGTCAATGTAATCATTTTGCAGCATTAAGTTGGAAACATGTTGCACTAGAAAGTGAATCAATGCATCCAAAGCATGTTCATATGTTGCTTTACATTGTAATGTCTTACTAGAATATTGGATTCTTCACATTTTATATGTAAGTTTTTGATATAGTGCCTCTCTTAAAATAAAAACAGTGGAATATAATATAACCATGCAGTCTAGATATTATAAGTATAACAATGTGTATAAGACATCCTCACTCTCTGATTTGTCTATGTCATATACATGACGAAAAATAACATATTCCTCACTATCTGATAAGTCCATGTCCCACACGTGAATAAAAATAACAAGCGATATTCAAAGGAAGTCATGTGACATCCGTTAAATATCAAATGATATTCACCAGTCACGACTTTGTCCCGTGAAATTTCAAGTCTATGTAGTCCTGGGAGTACATTGTTATGGTTAATAAGAAAACCGATAGATTGTTGTTCCATTAATGTGAGTGAGGAATATATAAGTGAATAACAAAACAAATATTTAATTCTATTTTCAATGAATACCCGTGACACTTTCACAAGATGATATTCCACTAGCCCTTCGGGATTTCTGGAATATTATCTGTGAAAGAGGCACAAATATTCACTTCAATAGAATCAAGTATTTGTATTTTATTTTTTTCACTGTCAGATTCTTCACTCTCTGATTGGTCCATGTACTGGAAAATAACAAGCGAAATCAACGGAAGTCCAAGACTAGCATCGAATATCAAATGATATTCACCAGTCACGACTTGGTCCCGTGTTATTTCAATTTTATATAGCCCAGGAATACATTGTTGTGATTAATTAGGCATCAATAGTTTATTATTCAAGAAATGTAAGTGAGGAATATAACAGTGAAAAATAAAACAAATATTTAATTCTATTTAGGTGAATATATGCCGCACTTTCACGAGATGATATTCCATTAGCCCTTCAGGCTTCGTGGAATATCACTTGGTCCCGTGTTATTTCAATTTTATATAGCCCAGGAATACATTGTTGTGATTTATTAGGCATCAATAGTTTATTATTCAAGAAATGTAAGTGAGGAATATAACAGTGAAAAATAAAACAAATATTTAATTCTATTTAGGTGAATATATGCCGCACTTTCACGAGATGATATTCCATTAGCCCTTCAGGCTTCGTGGAATATCACTTGCGAAAGATATAAAGGTTATTAATGAAATCGAAGGTTTTTGATACAGGGAATATCTGAGGGAAATACAATATATATACCAAAGGGACCGGAGAGATCGAGCTTTGATATAATGTATTTACCGAGGGATAGACCCTTTATCAAAAATTGAGCATTTAAAGGGGCAACAAGGCCTGTAGAGAGAGAGTTCGAAATTTGTTACTTTTTTTGATCTTTCAAGTCAACATTTAGCTTAACACCTTCTTTGGCATACCTATTTTCTTAAAATGTATGGATAAACTATCAATTTCAGCATTAACAAGTGTAAATTCAATTCGTACGAGCCCCCAGAGCCCCCCCCCCCCTGGTTACGGGCCTGGCATACTGGAAACGGCCTTCACTATGTCAAGTTCACATTGATTGAAATACAGATTTCAACATTTAAAGTAATATGCCTCAAATGACATAGGACACAATTTAAATCTTGTTACTCAGATGAAAAATATTTATGGTTACAGTATATAATGTTTATAATATGCTTTTGTCTGGATTGCATGATACATTAGTATGCCATTATAATACATGTACTATATTGAAAACTTATATATGTTATATAAAATGTGTATGAGTCCTATATTCTCGTAAAAGATAAATTACAATGTCAAACAACAAATGACGATGCTTGGATGCATTGATTCACTTTCCAGTGCTACATGTTTCCAACTTAATGCTGCAAAATAATTACATTGACTATGCCTTCTTTCCTCTGTTTTGAAGGGGTAGGGCACTATAACGTCATATTTAAGTTACAAAATAGTGATTCATCATTATAAAAGTTGTATTACAATATTACACAAACCTTGGAAATGTTCTTGGAATAATTGGCTACTCTTAAGAACTCATAATGTTTCAGAGGGTCCAAAGGAACATTTTAGCAAAGGTTTCATTGATGTACTCGAGATGTCATTTAAAACTAATTTTAAGGGCATTTCAAAAAGCGCCCCCTGGTGGTAGCCCCAAATTTGTCACTTAAGAGTTGCCTTTTTGGGTATGCTAGACCCACATCTACTAATTACAGGCCTCAAACCTTTTGTACTCGAGATGTCTTATGGATGTGTAATGATCTTCGATATCAAGTCGCTACTACAGTCTCAGCTGTAGTGGCTAGCCTTTATGGCTCAGGGGTAGAGCGTCTGACTCGAGTCAACTCAACCCCTGTTAAACTCAACCCCAAGTCAACTCAAGCCCTGTAAAACTCAACCCCTTTATATTTTAGCACTGACAAATTCGTATTCCATATGATATAAAAGTTTGTTGAATAAAACAAGTATAGTAATTTTGTTTCAATTATTGATTTCCACTGTAAGACCTTCCTTTAATAATGAGCGCGATCTCCAAATCCCCTGCTAATTATATGTAGGATTAACGACGGTGTCAGAGTTCGGCGGTTGGCGTTAGTTCGGCGTCTGGAACAAATGGCATGTTAATGTCTCGTTCAAATTAACAAAATTACTAAAATGTTTAACTTACTTATTACGACACGAATCGACAGCTCGGCTAATTCTACAGGTTGAAGAAGTTCCGCTACCTTGTTCCTGTTATGTCTGGCAAGTGCCTTTTCAGTGACGTTTTTACCCCTCGATTTTCTCTTTCTGGCATCACCGATATTTAAAGAACACAGAATCAATAGAACGAGGATAATACAGGTTCTGATTCTGGGCTGTATCATATTCATGGAAAACGATATCATTCGGCAATATCACCAGATCGATCAATAAGTATGTACGTATTTTTATCAGAATTTAAAGGCTCTGTGTAATGTTTGCAAATATGTCTTATCATTCATTTACTTTTTTCTCATGACCTTAAGTTATTTTTAAAAATTTAGAAAAAATGGGAAAAAAGTTTTTAGATTTTCATTTCTCAAATATTCAAATTCCCCCTTTTTAAGTCAATCTTTTCTAAATATGTTAAACTTTGAGAATAAACTAATATTGGTTGTCTAACCAGGTTGAAAGAAGAATATATTATGTTTTAAATATTAATTTACCAATGGTTTCTACGAGTACAAAAATTTCAAATTGCATTATTCTCTGAAACACTTTTATGCATGGATGAGTTCATTTCTCGCCTATTTATCAACCAAATTGTTTCTACAAAAATGACGTGAGAATAAATGCTATGCGTTGGTGTGAATTATGGCTTATTAAAAAAATATGCGTGAGTTCTAAAATTAAGTTACAAATGAATTAACGATTTTCCTAACAAAAAGACCTTCAAGAAGCACTTTTTAAAATTAAAAACAAAAGTTTTACATGTCACATTTTGATAACCTAATGTAAGACTACAATATAATCCTCTGATTTTGGCTTTGTCGTACCAGATCGCCTTTAGATAAGGGAGGTCCCTCCCATTTCATTGATGATAGATTCCTCACATGCATCTAGTATAGGTGTACTATTAATCCATTCCCTGATGAAACAGGGCTTCTCACCTTTATCTAATTTTAAGCTTAGATGGGGATCAAAGCCTGGGGGAAGGGGGAGGTGAAAAAGTTCCAATTCCTAGCAATAAGCTCCTGGAGTGCTGCTCCAACTTGAAGATGAGGGTCATCGTCTTGACCCCGGGGAACATTGGCATGTACTCCATTCTGACCCTCTGTAGGGCCATGTAAATTAGATAGCTCTCGCAAGCAATTGACCTTTTTCCATATAAATGAAAAATAGATGGTATCATGGGTATTGGTAGAGCTTGGGTAGGGCTAGAATACATGTAAATGCATTGCCAGAGTCACTTAATTTCTTGATTTAAGAAGTAATTCCATTTGGATCAACTTAAAACATCATTGGAATGTAACTTTATGATCTTATTGACACGTGGATTGTGATTTCACATTAAAATTGTGATCCTTGGAAGAGTAAATGAACTTTTTAAGGTTTTTCAGCATTGTGTCAATGGGGATTTAGCCCGACCTTTTTTAGACATCCAGTAAATCATTAGAATTTGAATAATGGTAAATTACAGTGCAAATCAAAGTTGTTTTGATAGAGAATTACTCACAGAATTCAAATATGCCATCAGATGGAAGAAAACATTAGTTTTTAATGGTTAAAAATGCAGATCTCCTAAAATCTCATTAAAAACAAGACCTTAACGAGATTTCAAAGCTATATGGAAAAGGGACCATTATCTAACAGGCGTGCTTGTCCAAGGGGTTAATTTTTAGAGTTTTGATATCCTCTGGTAACATTGTTTTCAAGGCAAGGATGGAATTGAAACCATTCGCATTTAAGACTTCCATGGTTTCCTCTTTCAAGTTCCATTTTTCTAACACTGTTCTACATTCTTCATCCATACTTTACTGTTAAACTATATATTCACTGTATATATCTTAAAAACTTCAAAGAAAAAGCTAGCGCATATAACTGCCTAGTGCTACATGTAAGCTGCTAACCCCCTATCACACCAAACTAGTTCTTACCCTTTCTTGGGGCTTTCTTGCCAGTCCTACGAAAACGTCATAAAACGGGCTCAATCTGGCTGTGGTCGGGAAATATGTCTAAAATAATTAGCTTCTTCGTTCATAAACAGTCTTCAATACGTCCATCTCATTCGCAGTTCGTTCAGGTCGCACCACATCAGTGTGCAACGTCGTATAACGCGTCCCTTAGTCTAGAAGGTCATCGTGACCTCATTACAGAACGGTATGGTCGCCATCGAATTTGTAATCATTTCAAAATTCTAAAATCACCTTCCCGTCTGAGAACGTTCATGAAGTTCGTAAATAGTCCTTAGAAAGTTGCAGCTACGTTCATTCCGTTCGCACACAGTTTAAAACCAGTTTTGAAGAACGCAGTGGCAACTTGTTTGGTGTGATAGCTATATTTTTGCTAACTCGTTCATAAGCAGTCGTTCTTAATCAGTTTAAACCGTTTGCAACTAGTTCTACCTCGTTCTCAATACGTCCTCAGACAGTACAACTCGTTGTTAAAACGTCCCTAGTAGGATTGAAGTACGACGGTTCCGTTCGTAGTACGTCCAGCTCGTCGTTAGTACGTTGTCACTCGTTCTAATTGTAGAACTATCGACCACGAGAACATTTTGAGCATGTTCTAAGTTCTAGAGGACCTACCCGTTCGAGTGCGTTCGATGAAGTTTGTAAATAGACCCCAAACGGTTCTAAGTACGTCCAGTCCGTTTGCACACAGCTGAAGCCCGTTTTCGAGAACGTAGTGAAAACTAGTTTGGTGTGATAATAGGGTTAGAGACTGACTGACTGACTGACTGGATTGACCATGTGACCTGATGAATATCTCACATAGCCATCAGTACATTAGCATAAATAGATAAACAAGCCCAGATGTCCACATTATTTAAATGAAGATACTGACATATCTCATAAATAATCCAAACTGAAAGTTGGTTAAACTTTACATGGGGCCTTTAATGATTGGTTTTGAATTTTGACGATAATTTAATCATTATATAATTAATTAATAATTGATTGAACAAACATCCCACGTTTATTAGATTTTTCAGGAAATCAAGTATGTCAAAACTATTTGGTCAGTTGCATTAAAAATTGTGTATTTATCAATACTTCATTACACCCCTTGCAAAAGATCATTCCGTGAAACTCGACTTATTTACCTATAAAAAGATATATAACAGATCATTTCAGTAAAACTAATGACCTTACCCTGCAGAAATGGAGATAATATTTCACAGCTTGTTCGGGGGCCAATACTACAGGGCCAGGTCTCCAGAGGACTAATTGTACTCTGTATAGAAGACAATTGTAAACCAGTGAATAGAAGAGATGGTAAGCCTTATTGAAATAATCTCATTTGTCTACATTCGCAAAAAACTTCAAAATATGGAAAAGTTGTCATACTTTTTAAAACCTCAATTATTGGAGCTAATTTCCACTTGTCAACTTGTGGACTATTACACAATACTATGTAATTACATATAATAAGTGTCACCTATATTGGATACCTGTCTGTAAAAATGGCTCATAATGTCAAATTGACTGAGCCACAAAAAATAAATATTAGATAAATAAAAAACGATAACTGCCTAAAGGATATATAACAAATGTGATCGTCAGTACATATGATGTTATTAAGTGAAGTTTATTATTGATAAAGCACTAACTATTTCTGATGCCGAAGAAGAACATCAGTTAAGAAAAATATTCAAGCTCCATTAGCTGCTCGTAGTCTTAAACACGTCGGTAATATTGTTACCAAATTGGTTCATGCAAGGCAACGGATGATGCTCTTAATAATAGCTGCCACTGCCAATTCTCTTCAATTGAATATGAGGGGAACATTATTGAATATCAAGCTAAGGAAACAATAAACCAAAGATTGTGGGGAAAGGCGTTGACCATAAGGGGTTGGGGGGGGGGGTTGCAGGCCCGTAGCCAGGGGTGGGTTGTGGGGAGGTCGAAAATTCTTTCAAAATCATAGAGGTTTTCACCATTTCTGAGCACTTTTCATGTGCTTTTGGCCTTTTTCGGTAAAAGTGAACCCCCTGGAATAAAAAGTGAAGTGAAGCCCCTTGGCAACTCTTGGATACGGGCCTGGGTTGTGTTCGATTAATTACAAACTGCTGTTTTTGTTGGCCTGTATATGCATTTTCATTACATGCTACAAACGTAGGTGAATGTGCAGAAGAGGTAATTTTGATTTTTATCTCCTCCGCTATTCATTTCTATGGTTTATGGGACAGTTACGACGGGATGTAGCGCATACCGGTTATAATAACCTCGCTCTTGTATGTTGTATAGCCAAAGTAACAACATCTGCAAAACAATACGTTCACTGATACCTGGACTGTAACATTTGCTCACAGTTTAATATCTACATTGCTGTCTTAAAAAGCTGCACAATGCTGTCGTTTCAAAACGCGTGTTTAATAGCTGCAGTTGCAATAGCCTATCTACTCGTACGGGAAGAAAAAGTTCCAATAAGTTCAAGGATAAAAGATGTATTGGAGAATGAGTATGATTATATAATTGGTAAGTGTCGACTGTCCATCAATTTCTCCAATCGCAATTAGTCTCTCATGTTTATGTCACCAACACAAGTGGTGACATATTGTTACTCTCCAATCTTTTTGTGGTGGCGGTTGAACTTCGACGTTTTGTGTTCGGCGTCTATAACCAATTGCAGGTGGTGACATTTTGCATATTAATGCCTCGTTATTATTGATAACGATTTCCCCACTTACAGTTGGCGGGGGTTCAGCAGGTGCAGTGTTGGCCGCTAGACTCTCGGAGGATGAGGGGACGAGTGTCCTCCTGTGAGAGGCTGGTATCGAGTGGCATCACACTATGCCTGTTCCGTCAGAGGCCGCACAACCCCAAAGGACCATCATAGACTGGGAGTACAGAACTGTTCCACAGAAGCATTGCTGTAGTGGCTTGAAAGACAAGGTAGCACTAAGCCAAGGGTATGATCAAGGGCTTATTTAATACCTAGGACCTGTGTAGCGTGTACCGAACGAAACGAAACGACATCCGAACGAGTAGCCTTCTGGCTAGGGTGCCCCCGGGTATTACGTTCGCCCTTGGTGTAATATAATATATCATACTAAAGTAACTAAAGTAACATTTTAAATAGTACAGAGCAGTTATTAGACGAACTGAATTTTAAAGAGCTATTTCTGTTTTTTTGTCATTTTCTTGCTTAAAAATGAAAACATTTAATTTCGCTTTTTGCATCGCATTCACACAGTACATTCATTTGTACATTCATTACATACGCGACAGGACAATATGGCAAATGCTGTGTAATACACCTACACTCTCAGGTAATACATGTATTTCGCAACCTGTGATGGAAATAATATAAATTAGATAAATTTTTCTAAATTTAATCATGTGAAAAGTTTCTCCTACACTATATTAACAATTCCTAAAATGGGGATGGTGTTTAAAATGCGCTATTAAGTTAAAAACCACATATCCCGTGTTATTTTCCCAGGGAAAACTCATGCTATCCATTGTTTTCAGCTAGCATAATTTGGGTCATCGAAATTTTGTGTCTTCAAAACTAGACCCCTTGTTGAATAATCTTTTCATGCAATAAAAATCAGAAAAAGATCCTCTTTTAGAAAAATCATTTTGGAAAAATTGTTGACATGGGGTCTCTGTTCATAATTTCTCGAATTATTAAACGAGTTTGATTAATATTCTTATCATCATGGGGACTTCACTTGAAAGAAAACATATTGTTTTAATAAAAACCACTGTATTTGTGCTCAGAAAGTACTCGTGGTTAAAGATATGACTGTCTAAAATCACTTGCCATACCTCACATGGACATTTGAACATATAACTGATGCACAATTAACAAAATACCAGCACCAGTTCTGTTGCTGGGATGCCGTAACGACACCAACTGTGCGAGAATAATTCGCAAATCATATTTCGTAGCCTCATTAAAATTCTGTTGCGGGACAACATGGCTTGTAAACAATTCATTTGTGATGTGAATCTGTTGTGTTTGCCGAGTCTAGATGTACTTACAAAATACGATGAATTATAACAGACGCTTCTCCCAAATAAGAAATAGAAGCCTGTATACACTGCTACCCTCTAAAACTATCAGATCTTGCCACCATACTTGTCTTCTCGTGCATCTGTAAAAATTTCAGGTTGGTTTGATAAGCAGTTTCCAGGAATTTGGTGACAAGGTTTATGTAGCGTCCGTCCACATGCCTGCCCGCCGCGCATTCGGATATCGGTCACATGTGATTATAATACGATTGTATAATTCCAGGCGAGTAGATGGACGCGGGGTAAGGTGTTAGGAGGCTGTAGCTCACACAACTACAACCAATATTGCCGAGGCAACAAGAATGACTACAACATGTGGGCAGACATGGGCAACACTGGTTGGAGCTACGATGATGTCCTACCCTACTTCAAGAAATCTATATCACATCTAGATCCGGCTCTAGCTAAATCAAGTATATGAAACAGTATCAACAGCTACCTTTATTTTCAAGATTTTTTCAATGTAATATCATGGGAGTGCGTTTCATTTATTTCAGATGCCAACAAGCACGTATATGTCTTTAATTCAAAGCGCGTATGTCACAAAAAACTTAAGGTTTTGCGCGTATAGCCTGAGACTAACATAAAATTTTATGTTAGTCTCAGGTATAGCATAGCCTAATAAATGTTAGGTTCACTTTTCTTCTCAAACAATTTACGAGTTAGAATTTGATATTTGACATGATTTTATCACCTACACCTGAAATATTCAAAAGGAGAGGAATCAAAAAGGGATCAAAATGTAATACTAACTCTTCTTAAAAATATAAAACGTTTGTCCATTATTTCCAAATCTTATATAAATGAGACAAGGGCCACTGTTAATATAAGGTCTAAACTTTGAAAATACATAGTTTTGTGGGCCACACACTGCCCTATTCGCCGGTATCGTTATATATAGATAAAGTTATACTATGTTATATTAACTCTTCTTAGAAATATAAATCGTTTGTCCATTATTTCCAAATCTTATATAAATGAGACAAGGGCCACTGTTGATATATGGTCTAAACTTTGAAAATACATAGTTGTGTGGGCCGCATACTGTCCCATTCGCCGGTATCGTTATATATAGATAAAGTTATAGCTTGATTCTCTCGGTTTCTTGTTGTAGATTACCATAGTACAACAGGGCCACTTCAGGTGTCGCCTGTAGACAGAATTGAAAGCCTCCAGTATGTGTACGATGCAGCTATTGAGGCAGGACTACAAACAACTGAAGATCTAAATGGCGAAAATCAGTTTGGTAAGTTGAAGAGAGAATCACGTAATGAAAAATTTGCAAAGAAGGCATTGAGTTGAGTAAATTGACCTCAAATGAGTATAAGTACTGTTCTAAGACTCACTATGATGTGGTAAAATGTGTAGTGAGTAATGTGATATGAGTGCTGTGTAGTGGGTAATATGATGTGAGAATTGTGCAGTGGGTAATATGATGTGAGTACTGTGTAGGAGTAATGTGTTGTGAGTACTGTGAATAAGTGAGTACTGTGTAGTGAGTAATGTGATGCGAGTATTTTGCATAAATGAGTACTGTGTAGTGAGTACTGTGCAGTGAGTAATGTGATGCGAGTACTGTGCATAAGTGAGTACTGTGCAGTGAGTAATGTGATGCGAGTACTGTGTAGTGAGTAATGTGGTGTGAGTACTGTGCAGTGAGTAATGTGATGCGAGTACTGTGTAGTGAGTAATGTGATGTGAGTACTGTGCATAAGTGAGTTAGGACAAAAGATGTACAATGCTTCATTTTATAGGTGACAATACATACTATGTGAATATAAATCTGAAACCATTTTAGGTTTCGCATTTTCTCAAGCAACGGTAGATGGCAATGGCGTCCGATCTAGTTCAGCTGACGCTTTCCTTTACCCGGCCTTGGGCAGAAAAAACCTCCACGTTGCAACTAGAGCACATGTGACAAAAGTAATGTAAAATCACCAATGAATCACCTAACAATAATGATATTGATAAAATTCAAATGGCAATATAATAGATATAGGTATAATGAACTTTATTTTGGTTTGTTCAGTAAATCAAGACCAGACGTGTGCAAATCTGGTGAAAATCAAATTTCATATACTGTCAATCACCAAAGTAAAATAGTGATTTTCCGCAGCTTGTATATTAGGTGCAACTAACTGTGTTCTTGTCCTCACTGAAATCGGTTTAAAACTAAACTGATATTGCAACTTCAGGTTTTATTGGAAGATAAGAAGGCCGTGGGTGTGTCTTACGTTAGAGATTTGGTGAAGGGAGAGGTCAAAGCAAGGAAAGAGGTGATTTTATCAGGTGGAGCTATAGGCTCACCGCATATCTTACTACTCTCTGGCATTGGACCGAAGAAACATTTAGAAGAGTTAGGGGTTAGTATGCAGTGCAATTATATAATAGCCGGTGTAAAAGGGTAGGAGGTCCTTTCAAACTATGGTCCTACTTTCCATTGATTTGTATGGCTACCTCAATACAACTTTTTCCCTTGTTATCTTATACGCAATCAGGGCCAGCAAGGGCCGTTAAGAAAGGGGACCATAAGCCCTGGGGGACCATCATTTCTTTCACACCGGGTCATCACTTACTAGTAGTCAATTCTATATTCATACTTTTGGTGCTGTTTAAAGGTCACTTAGTTGCCTGAATAACATTAGTTTCGATGCCAAAATAGCGCCAAAAGTTCAGAAATGACACTTGCTACAAGTAGAACTGTCAAAAATCTAACTTGATTTTGCATTAAAATCCGGTATCGTTCCAGCTCTGAATTTTAGTGTCAAATACACCACAATGCAATCTCTTCGTTTTTTACCAACATGGCGCTATATAAGAGCCAGATTTTTTCCTTACTGAATTCCCGAGGTTGAAATGAATATTAAGGAGCGTACAATATACTGATGCACCTTAAACTTCTCTCTAGGTGCCCGTCGTCGCAGACCTACCGGTGGGTGAAAACATGCAGGACCATCCTACATCCGACGCTGTGAGGTTCTACACAAAGGCGCATGCGTACACGGATACAGAAGCACAAAGCCTCAAAGAATATTTCAAGTACAAATTTTTCGGAACAGGTAGCCTATGCTTGAGTTTGGTCAAAATAGCAGATATATATCGATCACAAAACAAAAAAACATTCTGGCACATTTTCAACTTATTAACAACGTTGTCTTGAAAGATTCAATTTTGTATCAAGTTTCCGCACCCATCCCCCTCCTTAATCTGCCCCCATTTTCTAAAAACGAACGCTCTAAACTGACATGTTTGTCATGGACAGCATTTTAAAACACCTTTCCAAATATTCCAAAACGTCATACCTTATATATTCATGAATATTATCGTATCAAAACAACTTTGAACGCCGACTATTACATAATCACTGTTCATTTGTGCAATGATTAAAGACCATTGTCATACAGACTGGTTTGCAACCATTGAAAATGCCAATGCTTTATAGACGACGTAAACAACAATCGAGTATAGCGATTTTCATGGAATTAACATCAGTCTTTATTTAGGTAGCATTCTCGAATTCAACTAACGGCTGACGTAGTTTTTGATGGCCAACTCATTTAAATAAGAATTGACTAAATATACCCAGCTTACCAATACTGTAGATGGTCTATATAACATGTATTATTTTGTACTCTACTTGAGAGAAACCTAAATTGCTTCTCTTGCTGGTTAAAATCAAACCAATTCTAATGTTAAAAATATTTGAGGAAGGTTTAAACATTATCTGATTATTAACATAACTTCAATAAAAATGATTGCAAAGAAATTACTGTTTAACCATTGAAAAAAGTGTAATGGGAATGGTTGAAGTCAATGGTTGCATTGCAGCCAATGGTTGAAGCCAATGGTTGACTGTCTTTGTGAAATGATCTTTTCGGTGGATATAATGGCTAAGCAATGGTTACGTAATGATTTGATTTCGGACTTTCTACGCTGTTTTTATAGTTTTATAGTGTTAAAAAATGATGGTTTAAAAGTGATTGATCAATTTTGTCTGTTTGGCCGTATTATACCCGTTCCGATGTTAAAGTTGATATACATAACAACAAAACATATAATTCAACATATTGCCATGTTCGTCTATTTTATAAAGGATTAAAAAGGAATCCCATAAATAACCTCCAATATTTCATGAAGAGTCCTCATCAGCCGGAGCATCACGACTTTCCTTACATACAGTTTAGCATACTTTGTACGTTATGGGGCAGCGATCCGGGCACCGACTATTACAAGGACAACATTGGATATACTGACGAGGTATCATAGTTAAGTCATCGGTTGATAAGGAATAAGTGATAGAGATCGACACTTTTGTAGCAATCTTCAATAAAAAAAAATACCTGGAACAAAATGTGCACCTAAGAGAAAATATTCACAACGTACGATATTTAAGAACTTCCACTTTAATTAAGACATAATATAAGTCTGCCAATAACCTCATTTCAAAGGGCAACATAGTAAAATCTTCGGCCCGCCACGATGACTCGGTACCATGGCTCCACCTATTGCCCAAGTAATGTAAAATATAAGCCTTCTAAAATAGTTCTACTAATACCCCAAGAACAGCTCGCAACAGGCCCGTAGCCAGGATTTGCCAAGGGGAGTTCACTTTTTGAAAAATTCCAGGGGGGTTTACTTGTGACAATTTTGGTCCAAAAATGGCCAAAATAACTTTAGAAGTTCTCAGAATGATGAAAAACTGCATGATTTTGAAAGATTTTTTGGCCAGGGGGGGGTCATTGTCATCATAATCATCACCTTCCGCTTGCCCCTGGCTACGGGCAAGCGCAAGGTGGTGATAATTTGTATTTGACAGGTGTGGGACGCTTTGTATTCCGACAATGACAATGATGACAAATATGGCGCATCATTATTGGTAACTCTTCTTCACCCAGCCACAAATGGAACAGTCAGGCTGCAAACTACAGATCCTTTTGACCACCCTCTGATACAGCCTAATTTCTTTGAAGACCCCATAGATGTTAAACACATAGTAGCAGGTAAATACAAAAGCATCTTTGAAAGCATATCAGTACATGCATTTTTGTATGCCCGCGGTGCTAGTGAATTAGTTGACACTCGCGAGGAGCCGACAAGGTTGCCACAGCGTAATTAGAAGTTTAGGTGTGCTTGGATGAACTGTGTTTTGAAAACGTGCCAACATGTAATTTGCAATGCATGGGCTCATTGTTCTTTTTCGTGATACCTAGGGAGAAGACTATATATTATGCAATGCAATAGCCCATGGGCAGTTAAAAAACGAAGCCCTGGTCTCTTCGACTAATCAGGCTTTTAAAAACATAAATATCAGCACCATTACCTCCCACAAACTCACTCTTTTGTAATGTTTATAGGAATACGTGTTATCGTTGATCAGTTGGCCAAAACAAAGGCATTCGAAAAGGGAGGATTTGAACTTGTGAAATCGCATCATCCGCATTGTAAAGAGCATTCGTTTAACAGTGACGACTATTGGTCGTGTTTCATTAGAGCAAATGCATGGACTCTGTTTCACCCCACATCAACCTGTAGAATGGGACCTGACAATGACAAGAACTCTGTAGTTGATCCCGAATTGAGGTACATACGAGATATTTCTTTTATGCTAGTTCCGTATGTTAGTGAAGTCCCCCACCTCGTTTCTGAATAATTAGTAGATAAAACTAAGAAGAAACGGCGTATACCCTTTGTTACCCCCCCCCCCCCTTCATAGGGATCGGTATTCAAATTATTTAAAATCCCCTTTTTACTTACTACTGACGTATAGTTAAAATTTTCAGGGTAAAGGGTATCAAGAACCTGAGAGTAGCTGACGCCTCTATTATGCCGTTTGTTGTGTCTGGTAACACTAACGCTCCTACTATCATGATTGCCGAGAAAGCAGCAGATATGATCCTTGGTAGAAAGACTGTCTAAACATTGCTCCTCTGGGATTCTACAGATTAAAACTATAGACCCTTAGACAGGTGTGAAAGAAATGATGGTCCCCCAGGGATTATGGTCCCCTCTTAACGGCCCTTACTGGCCCTGATTGTGTATAAGATAATGAGGGAGAGTTGTATTTAGGTCACCATATAAATCAATGGAGAGTAGGACCATAATTTGATAGGACCTCCTACCCTTTTACACCGGTGTTAAAGACAAAAGCATGTATCTTGTGCTATATATGAAGCACATTGAATGCAACCCCCTAATGTCCAATTTTTGAATTACTTATAATTACAATTTTGGTGGCTTTCATGATTGTTATATCTCTGTCATATTTCTCACTCCCTGATATATTGGTCTATGTACTACACGTGATTAGGAAATAAGTAATTCAATGGCTGTACACATGTCTATGAAATAGCGAATGATATTCGACGGTGACAACTTAGTCCAGTGTAATTTTAGTTTTATTCATCTTCGGGATTGAGTTAGTCAAGTGTAATTTGATTTTATATAGTGTCACACTACCCTACCACGTGACCACGTTTAAAAGGGGAACAGGGTACAGCTAAGTTGCAAATGGAGGACGTGGGTTTAATTCCATATTTCTGAACGTAAAATACATTTTACATTTATTTCTAGTATTCTACCAGACATAGAATTGATTCATCGAGCAGTTTCTAGAATATTGTTGGCAAAAAACCACTATAGGCAAAGATAGATAATAGTGGGCGCAGTGAAGCAAAACTCAATGCAATACACGATACATTTCAGTAAATCTATCAACGTACAGGGAGCATGTAAGTTTCCCTTCGAAAATGTTACATTGATATATTACAAAAAAAGCCAGTTAACTGTTATTTAAACTGCGTGTCATCGTGTTATATGTGGATACGTTTTCCAGTATGTTATTCAACTGTATTTTTGTGAATTAATTGTTTTTCTAAAATCTTAAGATGCAAAAAACGTCGTCCCAGAAATGTATCTTTACTTTGCCGCAAGGCATAACATATTGTGAAACATTTTTCCTCTTGTCACAAGCAGGATACACTTGGTGAAATCGATAAAATAATATATAAAAATTTGTTTTATCTTCGGATATTTGTGTAAAAAGATGCGTAATAATACAGTATTTCCATTCAGTATTGTAATTATTATATTATATTATGAAGGAAAAAAATATAATCAGCATAATATACTACATTATATAGAGATTAATATAATATAATTAGAAATAAGTGAGATCCAAATATATTATTTGTACATATAAACATTTACCAAATCCGATTATCTCAATAAGAAAATGTAGCAGAATGTTTTATTCCCTGTATAATATTCTTTTTTTAGAATTATTTGCGCCAATTTATATTTATTCTGTCTTTCTAAAATATTATTTGGTCATATTTATCAATCCAAACTGATGATTGCAGTCTATTTAGATTTTTTTCTATTCTAAAAAATATTATTTTCTAGTATTTTCCAATCTAAGCAGAATATATCAAATTATATTGTATTATTTGGGTTCTAAAAAATATTATACTCGATTATTCTCGTCAAACTTGATGTACAATCCATCTGGTTAATTACTTAACCAAACAAAACAAAAAATGCACAGCATGGCAGTTGATAGGATTAACCGTTCTACTGGCCTTCTCATCTCTATTACTTACACATGTCACACACATTTTATTTTGACTGTTCTATTTCTACTTGAAAAATATCTTCAAATAAATGTTTAGAAGAAAGAAATTTAACTTGTTTTAAATTAATGTTAACAATGGAGTAAAAATGTGAAAAGTCATCAATTAAAAATCAAATAAATATCTTTCCAATGAGTTTATCGATTAAATCCAAATTTTAAAACAATGTTAATCACAGAAAGAGGGATTTTATACAATTAAACAAATATGAAAAACTTAATTTGCAAATTATTATTTTTGTGGAAAATAAAACAATCGGCTCTAGATATTAATCCATTCACTCTAACAAACGGATTAACTCTAACAATCGGATTAGTTATCAGTGAACAAAACTCATTTCATTGAAATTGAAAAAACTTAGAGATTAAAGTATTACTTATATTGCTCTGTCATCAATACATGTACATGTATGTGAATGGTGAAAATCGTCATGATTTTGAAAGAATTGTTGGCCAAGGGGAGGGGATCGTTACTCGTTAGGTACGGGCCTGTACACCCTATGCAGACAGAGCCTGTGGGAAATATTGGGTGCGGCGCAAATGAGCGGAGGGTGCGGAGCTAACGGTCATTTTTGAATTTAAAATTGGGATATTTCTGAAACTAAGCCGTTTTGGGACTTCAAATATACCAAGATATGTGTATTTGACACCAAATATCAATAAAACTGTGAAAATAGTAACTGCAATTCATTTTATAGCGACGCAGTATGCCTTAAACATTTCCCAGACCTATATATTTTGAGACTATCCTTTTAATACTGCGTCCCCAGCATTCATAAAAAATGGTGTTCAAGATACACTACCCATGCAAATTATTTTTGCATCTTGGAAGCCAGGCAGTATCTGTGTGATTTTATAAAAATTCGGAAATGTTCTTCAGATATGAGCCCCTCTAAATATTGGGTGCGGAGCTACGTTTATGGAGCTGCTCCGCACCCAATATTTAGAGGGGGCTCATATCTGAAAAAATTTCCGAATTTTTATAAAATCACACAGATACTGCCTGGCTTCCAAGTTGCAAAAATAATTTGTATAGATAGTGTACCTTGAACACCATTTTTTATGAATGCTGGGGACTCAGTATTAAAAGGATAATTTCAAAATATATAGGTCTGGGAAAGGTTTAAGGCACACTGCGTCGCTATAGAATGAATTGCGCTACTATTTTCACAATTGTATTGATATTTGGTGTCAAATACACATATCTTGGTATATTTGAAGTCCCAAAACGGCTTAGTTTCAGAAATATCCCAAATTTAAATTAAAAAATAACCGTTAGCTCCGCACCCTCCGCTCATTTGCTCCGCACCCAATATTTCCCACAGGCTCTGTCTGCATAGGGTGCTGTATAAAATGCGTAATGTTTTTAGCTAAAATTTGAGCAGTTCTGTGTCAAGACTATTTTTGTGGTTGGCAGAGTGAATACGGGTGGTTGTTTGTGCCTGTGTAAGAGTGGCGGTTAAATGTTGTTTGTTGTTAACTTTAAATGGCAGAGAAACAATGGAGTAAAAATGTGAGGAAACCCATTGATTAAAAATTAACTTTCCGTTGAGTCAATCAATTTAATCCAAATTTTAACACAATGTTAATCATAACATAAGGGACATTATAGAATCAAATAAATATGAAAAACTTGGTTTTTAAATTATTTTTTGCGGAACTTAGAACTGTTGGCTGTAGGAAATTACATGTAATCCATCGCCTCTAACAAACGGATTAGCTTTCAGTGTTAACAAAACTCATATTAAAGAAATTGAATAATTGGGGATTAAAGTTTTACTTATCATATTGCTCTGACATACATGTACTGTATGTCAACATGTTATTTACATCAGTTTGTTCTACAATGCACCAATTTGCTCAAAGCGTAAGCATCGCTATGTCAGATGAAACATTAGGAATAAATGTAAAATGTGCCCGCTTCTTTATTTTCATTATCAAACAACTAAACATACCGAATAAACATTTGGAAATGGAAAACAAAAAATTAATTAAAACCAGCTTTAATTAAAATGGTCCAATCTGTGGACTAATCTGTTGTTTATATCCCCAGTTTATATCTCAGATATATGGATAACATAAAACGCATGAATTGTGAAATGTGAGAGAATACACGTTTTAATTTTGTTTTAGCATGGCTTAACACCACTTGTATCAGTTAAACTAATGTACCTTTCTTATTTATTATCAGTGATTTGCCAGAAGAAATCGGAGCAATACATGTACATCCAATATAATACAGGCGTGGAATAAGTTTTAGCCCAGGGGATCAATTTTCAAAACAAACCAAGGGGTCACACTTGATCAGTTTGGCCCGAAATCACTTAACAGTGCTCAGATTGGTAAAAAATGTAGGATTTTGAAAGAATTTTGGCAAGGGGGGGGGGGGGGGGTTTCTTGACCCCCCCCCCCCCTCCCTGGCCATGGACCTATACCAAATTCGTAATGTATTGATATATAGCAGTTTCGTGTCATAAATGTTTTGTGTTGTTTGTGAAATGATTAAAGGTGTTTGTGTCTGTGTAAGAGGGGGCTTTAAGTGTTGTTTGTTGTAAACTTAATTTGACAGAAAAACAATTGAGTTAAATTGTGAGGAAACCCAATAGAGTAAAAATGTGAGGAAACCCATTGATTAAAAATTAACTTTCCGTTGAGTCAATCAATTAAATCCAAATTTTAACACAATGTTAATCATAACATAAGGGACATTATACAAGCAAATAAATATGAAAAACTTAATTTGCAATTTATTTTTCAGTTGAAATTAGAACCATTGGCTGTGGAAATTAATCCATTAACTCAAACAAACAGATTATTTATCAGTGTGAACAAAACTCAAATCGTGGAAATTGAATAATTAGGGATTAAAGTTTGACTTATTATATTGCTCTGGAATGTCAATACATGTATGTGAATGGTGAAAAACTACATGATTTTGACAGAATTGTTGGCCATGGGGAGGGGGTCCTCAGCTACGGGTCTGTGTAAAATGCGTAATGTGTTTATTGAATATTGAGCAGTTCCCTGTCATGACTGTTTTTCCGGTTGGCAAAGTGAATACAGGTGGTTGTTTTTACCTGTGTAAGAGGGGATCGATTTAAATGTTGTTTGCTATGAACTTAATGTGACAGAGAAACAATGGATTAAAATTGTGAGGAAAACAAAATTAATTAAAAATTCAAAAATTAACTTTACAATGAATTAATTGATTGAATCAAAAATTTAACACAATGTTAATCATAACATGAGGGACATTATACAATCAAATATTTATGTAAAAACTTATTTTGCAAATTATTTTTGTGGAATTAAGAGCCATCAGCTGTAGAGATTAATCCATTAACCCTAACAAACAGATTAATTATCAGTATGCATGAAACTCATTTCATAGGAATTGAATAATTAGGGATTAACGGCTCGAAAATAACCACGTATAATAGGTTTTTGATTGCAAATGCCAACATATTATTTGCTCCTGACAGGAATATTATTCTATATTATTTGGCATTATATGTTGTTCCCTTTAAATAATACACGAATAATATTATGAAATCAAAAATAATTCTTAAAAATACGTATTATATTTTTTTCCGTTATAATAAAAGAAATAACTGCCTATTATACAGGAAAAAATATTCTCTACGATTCTCTCTTAATGCAACTTATTTAGCAGTATATTAAACATTTTATTCTATATTATTTTTACTTTTTTACCAAGTGATAATGTTTGTTTCGAGGTGTCTTGTGATGAGCGTTTCATGATTAAATGCAGAATCACTGGAGCAGATACCATCCAAAAACATCTGACATTCAACACGTCATCTAAGACTACATCGATCTGGTATTGTTTTTTTACAATAAAAGAGAAATACGATGTCATATCAGCGCTACAGCAAATCGTGAAGAACAAAATGCTCTCAAGTCGTGGCATGATGGTATTTTGAACAAAATATTTTAAATGATCGGTTTTTGAGAACGGTAGTGAATTAGACCATTCAAGGGGTTATATAAATCTACAAAATAATGTTTACTTTATTTGGATTAAATAACAATTTATGACACCTCAAAGCATCAACAGGCGGCCTTTTAGCATTATTTTCACTGTTTGCAACGTAAATGTACATGAGATCGGGACATAGTATGTCTGTATAATCAGCTTACTTTCTCGCTCCCTGTACTATTGAGCAATTTACATTCCTTGTACCCTGTATTGATCAACTTTTGCAGCTGTGTACCGTGTACTATGACATATCAAATATTTTAAAATTTAAAACGATATTATTTACATTCTTTCTTCAACTATCATATAACTTGGAACATGGACTTCACTATTGCACCACTGAAGTTCAGCGAATAGCAATATTGACTCACTCCGAGCACCAAACGTATTAACCTTTTGACTAAGCAGTCGAAATACTCAAAAGCGACGTGGTTGAAAGCCAAAAAATTCGCGCATGCGCTATCGAGGTAGGGTAGTGTGAGTGTATATATAAATGTGTTTCAATGTTAACACATCATTTTGTATTAATGAGAATGTAAGCTTGACAGTGGTATTAAAACAAATATCTAATTCTATTTTCGGTGAATAGACGTTGCACCTCATAGAATTAAACATTGTAAAATATTTTTTATTAGAAACTTTGATGAGGAGCTAATAGCTACATCTACTACATGTGAGTTATTGACTTGTAGAGAATTAACATTACTAGTCAGGCCCGTAGCCAGGGGGGGGGGGGTCGATGGGTTCAAGCGAACCCCCCCCCCCCCCTTCCCCTTGGCCAAAAAATACTTCAAAATCATCCAGTTTTCACCATTCTGAGCAGTTTTCAAGTGATGGTGGACATTTTTGGACCTAAATTGTCACAAGTGAACCCCCCTGGAATTTTTCAAAAAGTGAATCCCTTTGGCAAATCCTGGCTACGGGCCTGCTAATATTCATGGAGTTAGTGTCTTGTACAAAATACTAAAATATGCAGTTTCAGAAATCCAGTTTCCGTATTAGTCAGGTTTTTTTTATCAAGCAGCCGTGTTAATACATTAGAAATGACGAAATGATTCCAAGAAAATAGGAAAGAAACCCAAATTATTATGACATCAGGGTCGCCCAGCTATCCATATAGGACATATCATTGATAATATACACGAAAGTAACCAAGAATATTATAACAATGTGGCTGCCCAACTATGTGGTGGGGACAAAGAATGTATGTGGCGATCTTGATGCAAGAGAAACCATACAATACATGGGCTTGGAGTATACACATTTTCATCAATAATATCACTAAAATTTTAATTTCATGAACAAACAATTTATTTTTCTTATCACATATCCTTATATGCAAACATCTTAACTTCCAGTAACATTTGCTTAAATTAAAACAAAATGATGTACAGTATCTGTACATATTTCATGTCAGATGTACTTTTAAATAATGTAGAAATGAATTGGCAATTTCATAAATAAATACAGAGGCATAGCCAGGATCTAAAATAAGTGAGGCAAAGTTTAAATAAGAGAGGCAAATTTTAAGCCAAAGTTTAAGCCAAAGAGAATATTATGCTCCTGTACATACGGACATATTTTTTTAGTTTTATTATAAAAAAAGCTTTACAAATATTTACCATATAACTTTGGTGAAACCATTGCCTCACCTAGATAATGGCTGGCTATGCCCAAGAAATGAGACAGAAACTCATGAGTAATGCTTCGTTGCTATGGTAACAGTAAATAAAGGCTATCATTCTAAAAAGATACTTAACAGGTTTTAAGGCTATTAATATCTGGATATATTAAACAACTTTTAATTTGCATATAACAGTATATGGAAAACTCAACAGATATACATCCACTGTATAACATGTATTTTCACAAGCCAATAATGTGCAAACGTAGGCTTGTTTCTCCATACAATATTCATGTATTATTGTATGTTATATGATTCAAATATGGAAATAAAATAACCTTAAAAAACAAAACAAAAAACTCAACAGACATACCAGCCTAATAATGTTTCAAACATTGTCTTGAATATAAACTTAATATAGATGGCAACATGAGCATTTATCAATTTTCACTACATCATAAGATTCTTTTTCAAATTTTTACTAAGTATGGAAAATAGATAATTGGTTTTAGCAACCGTAACAGAAAGCAATAGGAATATACCTTTTAATGACAAGCTCTCCAAAAAACTCACATCTAAAAATTTCAAGTTATAAAGTAGAAATTTTAAATTTGTAATAAATAAACTTATAAGCTCAGCTCCCTTTCTTTGAATCATCACTAAACTACTGTGATTGTTCGTGATTTGTGTGATTGTTCTTAAAAAATCTTCGGAACAGCAAATCTCCAAAAGCAGAAACAAAACATTTTTCTGAGATTTTGCTAAAAACAGATACTGGGACTTTAATAATAAATTACTCATGTGCCTGTAATGCAAATAGCACACATGTCATCGTAAATAATTCTAACAATAAAATAATAATCAAGTAATGATAAAGTCTAGGACAGTTTCGCCCAGCGTGAAAATGACATAATGTGCCTAACTGGAACATTGCGAGTGTGAGCCTTTAGTCGCAGGTTTCGGTCATCTGTGAGGAGAACGACGTCTCGTTGAAGCTGCACTCGTTTCCCTGAAAATATATGATGCATTATTGGAAAATTCTCCCATTTTTGAAATGTTCTTATCAAGACACATTGCTGAGAATTTTAAATCAAGCTGTCAAAAAAAGTCAGACAAGCTTATGTATATTGTATCTTTCTTGATAAAACATTTGAGGAAATCACTAGAAATTAAATCGAAAATACAAAAGACAATGACACTAAACATAAAAATTCTCCTCACAGAAAAGTGTACAAAGAATCAAAATTGTGATCAAAAGGACGATTCTCGGTTTGGAGAACGAAGTTCATCAATCTAAATGAGCTTTATCCCTGCTTCCGACAAATTTGATTTTTTTACATAATGTAGATTTGAATGTCTTCTTTTGAATAGTCATAATTTAATTTGGGTAATATTTCTAGATTTTTTGCAAAAAAATATTAGCACAGTACACTGATGAACTTCTTTCCCCAAATCGAGACTTGTATTTTATTGAATCGGTCTAATTGAGCGTTATCCCTGCTTCAAGCCAATGTGTTATTTTTACATCTTGTAGATTTAAATGCCCTCTTTTGAATATTCATAGTTTGATTTGGGTAATATTTCTATATTTTTCATGAAAAAGATTATTAGCCCAGGAGACTATTCTCCAAACCAAGAATCGTCCTTTGTCATCAAATTGGAGAAAAATCCCTGTACAATCAAAATTGCAAATATCCTAAAATCTCATTGAAAACAAGACTTCAATGTAGATTTCAAGCTAAAAGCCCCTATTCTAAGGAGAACTAATTAACAGGGTGCTTATGAATTTTGAAGGTACCATGACCATGTAAAGCCCAGGATGCAATAACAAATGTAAAGCTATACATACCAGTGTCAGGTCTTGGCATAAAATCTCTGGCTTTATCTTGGCAGTAGTGCAAACAACATGACAGTATTAGGTCGTCATTGTTGCCCTGTAAAAACAATAGAATGTTTCATTAAGAATTTCACCCTATGCAGACTGAGCACACAGAAAAAACAATCGGTCCAGATAAATAATCGGTTGTTCAATGTTCAATTTTAAATTGTGATATTTCAATAACTAAGACCCAACAAGGCTTAGTTTATTAAATATAACAAATTCAAAAATGATTGTTAGCTCCGTGCAATGAGCTATTATGGTATCTGCACCGATCGCTTTTTGAATACTCAGTCTACATAGGGTGAATGTTTTTAAACATTTTTATTTTAGGGTAAGTTTATTTATAAATGCTATTGGCTATGTATGTATCCTCTAGAGTGTGGAATTCAAAACAAAACAATGCCCATTTACATGGCGATAATTACTATAGGAATATTACTATTACCAGTTTCAGGTTGAAACTCCAAAATTTTCTGCCATTCTGACTTGTGACCTAATATTTTAATAACATCATGTCACAAAGACAGAATACATAGCAACAGTATCCAGTTGCTATATAAAATGTTGCTACGGCTACACTTACTGTTTTATCTGTTTCTTCACTACGAAATGCCACAGTATCAATGGTCGTGCCCTTTGATGTAAGTGCCCTAATATGTGGATTACGCTGTTCAAATTGTTCTTCAAGATAAGCAACTGCTTTAGTGGCCTCTTGTTGGACCATAGTGGCATGATCCTGGCTCTCATATTGGCTGTTGTTACCTCCCTTACTTAGCCCATCAAGCTCGTTTAATACTGAAAGTGAAAGTACATTTTACATTACACTTGACAACAAGGCACAGCGATCTCCCCAGGATTTTTTCTCAGGTGGGTGCAAAATTGTCATTTTCACAATTCAGACCAAAATTGGTCAAAATGTGCCAATTTTTCATGATTTTTCTCATTTTCAAATGGGTGCAAATGGATTTTCAGGTGGTTGCAAGCCTGTTTTCAAAATCTCAGGTGGGTGCTGCGCCAACTCAGCCACTTGCTTTAATGCTGGGGAGATCACTGAGGCATTAACATGCAACATGTCACAACCTGTGATTGGTTACAGACTTTGACTACTGAATACCAACCGCCAAATGCCAACCACCAAACACTTTTCACAAAAACTTTAACACTTCTGTTGGTGACAGCAATACAAAAGTTCATTCCAGACAAAAAAGTATCAAGTGAAACAATCAATGTGTTAATTTACATTTATTTGCATTTGAGAAAAGTTACTCTCTTAAAAAATAAGTGGCAAAGCTCACTTCTTCACATATTGTATTTTATATCTTCTCATGCATCATGCAAGGTAAAGAAAAACAAAATGCCTTATGGTCTCTTCCCTCCTACACAAGCTTTGTCATTTTCTGCATGATCATCAAATATTGTTATTTCATGTATTTTCAATGATCATAAACTATCAAAAATAGATAATGTTACTTCATGTATTTCCAAACATCAAATAATGTTATTCAATGCATTTTCCATAATAATCCCATGATTGTTACTATCAAATAATGTATTTCCCATGATCGTTACTATCAAATAATGTATTTCCCATGATTTGTACTATCAAATAATGTATTTCCCATGATTGTTACTATCAAATAATGTATTTCCCATGATTGTTACTATCAAATAATGTATTTCCCATGATTGTTACTATCAAATGATGTATTTCCCATGATTGTTACTATCAAATAATGTCAAAAGGCAGTCTTACCTACTAGAGGTAGAATCAGCTTATACTTCTTTGAGTTCAGTATTGCTGTAATGGTGGCAAGATGGTCAATGAAACAGTTAGTGTCTGGCACGAGGAAGACTGGACGAATAGTGATCTGGATTCTATGGTCTCTACTGCTTTCTAGAATTGCCTGAAAAACATTTCAATGGGATAAAACATTATATTAAGAAGATTTGACGAATAGTGATTTGGATTCTGTGGTCTCTGCTGCTTTCTAGAATTGCCTGAAAAACATTTCAATGAGATAGAACATTATACTATAAAGACTGGATGTACAGTGATCTGGATTCTATGGTCTCTACTGCTTTCTAGAATTGCCTGAAAAACATTTCAATGAGATAGAACATTATACTATAAAGACTGGATGTACAGTGATCTGGATTCTATGGTCTCTACTGCTTTCTAGAATTGCCTGAAAAACATTTCAATGGGATAGAACATTATACTAAGAAGACTGGATGTACAGTGACTTGGATTCTATGGTCTCTACTGCTTTCTAGAATTGCCTGAAAAACATTTCAATGAGATAGAACATTATACAAGGAAAACTGGACATACAATGACCTGGATTCTATGGTCTCTACTGCTTTCTAGAATTGCCTGAAAAACATTTCAATGGGATAGAACATTATACAAGGAAAACTGGACATACAATGACCTGGATTCTATGGTCTCTGCTGCTTTCTAGAATTGCCTGAAAAACATTTCAATGAGATAGAACATTATACTAAGAAGACTGGATGTACAGTGATCTAGATTCCGTGGTCTCTACTGCTTTCTAGAACTGCCTAGAACACAAAATATTCCAATGGAGGTATGAACTCCCATCTTAAAAAAACCTTCTTGATAAGAGTCCTATGTCTCATAGGAATTAATACATGGAATCCAAACCATAATCTGACAACTAGTATTTGAGTTATCAAAAAACTTTTGTCAAGAACAATGGTGGCTATTTGGAATTTAGCAGCTGTCTAGGAAATTCCTTCGAAAACAGAGTCCTATGTACATAATGCATCAGCAAATAGATTCTAACTCCCCCCCCCCTCCCCCCCAAAAAACAAACTGTGAACTGGTATTTCTATTTTCAGAAGATTAAATTTTAAAGCAAGGCATTAACATTGCAAAATGTAGCCAACTGCCATTTGTTACAGACGCAATGAACATTACACACATTTAATTTAATTCAATTAGATTTCTCATATTCATCAATTTATCAATTTATGGTTCAAAGTCACACTCACACTCTTGTGAGTTGTTCTATTCTATCCTTTCTAACCATATATGACCATATTTACAAAATGTTTTGGAGTTTCTCCATTTGGTCAATAGACATACATTGTACCTCTGTTGTTAAGTAATAAGTAAAAAGATATAACACCATGCACTTTTTTTCTTTACTTGGGGTATTTTCTATTAAAATTAATAAAAATACATTTACATGTATATTTTAAATCATTAATGTTATGACAGCATTTTTCAGATGTCGAAAAAAAGTTTTATACTATTAAAACTATAGTACTTAAGTACTTGCATATGCATACAGTTATGTATACTTGATCTATTTACTCAAACAGTAAAATGTTAGATGTAGGGCAACCATACTTTATCTGAATCTGCAGTATTTACTACATTAAAAGGATGCAGATGAAAGAATGAAGATGAAAATGATTGTGAATATCTGAATAACTGATTTGAAATTTAAAATAAAAGAACAACAAACACATGATTGATCTACATTGGCCTAGTCATACCATGTGAAAACTTTAAATATAATACACACATTTTCCCTGATACTATTTAAATAATGCACTCAGTCCAGCTCAAACTGTTTGCCGTAGTTATTTAAGCAACATATTTTGGGCAAACATAGGATTTTCTGCATCTTATACAAAACAGAGGATTCAGAGGGCCTGGCACGTTAAAGCTTACCACTCACTAACAGATGTACTCAGACTATAAGAGAAGACTCAGTTCGGCTAGCAACATGGCTCCTATCAAACTCCACGGAGACTACCTTTCCCAGCCTTGTAGAGCACTGGCGCTTATGATGAAAGTAAATAATATCGCCTATGACTTTGTCTCAATACCTCTCCTACCATTCTCTGAGTTTTGAATATACAATTTTTTCATAAAAATGGGAAGATACAGGCCTGTAGCCAGCATTTGCTAAGTGGGGGGTCTAAAAATGGGAAGATATCATCTGCATGTTTCACTTTTTACTATTAAGGGACAATTTGAAATGGACCCACAAATTATGGGAAAGGGTCTAGGGATAATAAATTATTTATGACATGTCATACTTTATGTTTCAGGATATCTTAAACTATAATGAATGTAATTGTGTAATTTTCATGATAATTTTGAGCAAAAAACAATTGAAAGGCAAAAGTGCAATACAGTTCTATTAAATGGAAAAATACATTCATATATTATGCGAAAATCAATTGAATATTTCAGAAAATTTTGTTTTATGAGCAAGAAACAGTAGAAGTTAATTATGTAGCATTATAGGTGTTTGATATTTTATTTGTACATGGTATAAGAATTCCCTCTACTATGAAATCTAGGTATGATAGACTTTGACTTGTTTTCATATTTTAGTTCTGGACAGGAACACTCCCTTGAGATTCTTGAACACTTTTTTTATTTTGTTTACCACAAATGAAGGTGAGCAATACCTGTTGGGTAACTATCCCATATATGAAAAGTTGTAATTTAAGCATTAATAATCCTGAAAGACTAGTCACAGAACCCCTCCTTGAAGGAGTCCTGTGTTCTAGGCATACAAGTACACACCAGAACCTTTTAAGAGATTGGACCACTCAGTCAAACACCCTTAAGTATGTTACACAACAAAGTCCCTAAACTGTAGATCGAATCTGGTACCTACGCATATTTAGTGCACGCTCTACCGCTGAGCTATATGGGTGGACTATAGTTTGCTAAATAAATATTATTAAAATAAATGTAAATTCATTTATCTATAATTAGTTATCCAAAAATGTTTTAATTCTGATGCCCAAATATATCAAAAATTTACTCTTTAAATGAATAATATATAAGGATAAAAAATGTGTTTTCAGGAAGTTGCCAAAAAGAGGAATATGTCGCAAATGTGAACCCATTTAAATGGGTACCAACTCTTGAAGTGGACAGTGATGGATGCATATGGGAGAGGTAATATTTTAATTTATTATATCATTGCTAGAAATCGTGTGATTTGATTGGCTGATTCAGTACCATGTGATCAAAAATACCATAGCGTATTTCACAGCTCCCTCAATTACTGGATTATAAGAGACGTATTGTATGCCTGGAAATTCTGACACCAACCACCAAACGCTGAACACCAACCATGAAACACAATCCACAAAAAAGATTTTCTTGAAGTTGACATTTTTGCCAACATTTTACACTCTTATTCTCTTCTACTGGTACATTCTAACCAATCATCCATCCTTTATTATTATCTAGCTCTGCCGCCCTTCAGTATCTGGCTGAGATGGATGGTGTTCCCGAACACTGGTACATTCTAACCAATCATCCATCCTTTATTATCTTCTAGCTCTGCCGCCCTTCAATACCTGGCTGAGATGGATGGTGTTCCCGAACACTGGTACATTCTAACCAATCATCCATCCTTTATTATCCTCTAGCTCTGCCGCCCTTCAATACCTGGCTGAGATGGATGGTGTTCCCGAACACTGGTACCCCAAAAGTGGGAGAGCAAGAATCATGGTGAACACGTACCTAGCCTCACACATGGAACAGACACGAGGAAACATTCAGCAGGGTACTTTGTCAGGAGTGTAAGTTGCATACTACCCAAGTACACTGGTACCCCAGAAGTGGGAGGGCAAGAATCATGGTGAACACGTACCTAGCCTCACACATGGAACAGACACGAGGAAACATTCAGCAGGGTACTTTGTCAGGAGTGTAAGTTGCATACTACCCAAATACTGTAGATTGGGTTAATTTGGCGCCCGCTTTAATTTGGCGAATTTGGCGAAATTGAAAAATTCGCCAATATAAATCTTCGCCAAAATACAGAATGAATCCCCGGAAATTATCTAGGGTATTTCGTCCAGTGTATTTAGGTCACTTCCAGTTTAGTTTTTCCATAAATATGAAAAAAATGTCTCATAAATTGGCTCAGAACTGGTCAGTCACTCATTAATACTCAGGGAAAGACTAGAAAGGAAAAGCGCGATATAGTAGCAGCATCGATCGAGGTGCAAAATGTAAAGGATGATCTCACAAAAATGTACAAACATGGTGAATATCGCCAGTGGTCCTCAAAAGAAAAATGAACATAGCCAAACATGCTAAATTTTTTGCATATCCGCCAAATTAAATAGCCGCCAATATGCCAAAAATGGCAAAATCGCCAAATTAAGTAGCGCCAAATTAACCCAATCTACAGTAGTTGATCATTGTTAAGGAAAACAAAAAAAACAAATAAAGCCCGTAAATCCATAGAATCAATCATAGAATCGAGTTCTTTGTTTATGATTCAAAATGATAAACAAACCAAAACAACTATTTGCATTAATACGAAATCTAGTGGTCATACGTATTCGATTATAGACCTTTGCTAAGGAATAAAGCCCATAAATCATCTAGTATCAGTCTGTTACCCCAATTGCACCTGCTCCAAAACATTGCTCATATTTTCTTTCTTATAAGTATAAGTTACTTTAAGATTCAATCATTTTCAACTGTAAACTCAGTATATACACATAAGCATGTGTCTACTGTGAAAATCTTTGTAACATAATGTAATTGAGTTAATTGGAAATAAAGAAATTAAAATATGAAAAAAAATCCATAAATCAAAGAATCAAGGTCTGATGATATGATTCAAATATGATAAACAAACCAAAAAAAAAAACTCCATTCATGAATTTAGAGGTCATACATACTTGATCATAGACCAGTAAATCAGGTGTTCTAGTTCTTGTGACATCAAGTATCATATTAGAATTATGGATCGATATAAAATAAGGAAATTAACACTTAAAATTGTTCAAGATTTAATTTCCATTGAAATATCAGCTTAGACGATAGTAACAATGATCCAAATGCAATATTGAAAATAAATGTACAGTAAAAAACTAAACTGAAACATTTAAACTGTACTAAGAATATTACTTCATCAGATTCATTTGAATGTGTACTTTTATTATATACTCTATTTTATTGTAATCTCTATTTTTGGTTTAACAGTTTGCTGGGCCGGCATTCTTCAGTATGACTATCACCGAGGACCAAGTTAAGGAAATACAGGATGGATTTGAGAAACTGCTCAACAAACTGGAGACAATCTGGTTGAAGGATGCCCCCTATATTGCAGGAATTGACATCTCAATTGCTGATATACATTGAATCACAGAGCTCAATCAGGTCGGAGCGACTGGTTATGACATGGTGAAGAACAGACCTAAGCTGGCAGCTTGGATGGAACGCACAAAGGCCAAACTACAGCCGCATTTTGATGATATAAGCAAGACAGTCTTGGCTGGATTTGCAGAGGGATTCAAGAAATTCAAAGAATCAAAATAACATTGTTTTATTGCGTCTCATAAATGTGTGTTCTATCACCAGATACAAAGATATAAATGTACTCTATTAATGAAGAAATAAAAATAAAGGTTTCAAAAAAAATTACAAAGCATTAACATGCAAAATATCACCAGCTGCCATTTGTTACAGATGCCAGCAACACCAAATGGCAACCACAGAACACCATTCACAAAAAAGATCCTTCTCATGAAAAATGGCAGCCATTTTGGACAAACAGACCAGCTTGAAAATTCCTTCTTGAGCAGAGTCCTATGTCCCTAGGGCATCAGCATATAAAATTTGAGTCAAATCTGTTAGCTGGTACATGTACATATTACATTTTTATGAAAAATGGCAGCCATTCTGAATTCAGTTACCATCTTAAAAATTTACTTCTTAAACAGTTTCTCTTCCCACCAGGTTGTATAAGCATATCTCTTCACTGGTCTTTGAGTTATAGATTAAAAATTTTTAAAAAAAACTGGTGGCCATTTAGAATTGAGTGGCCATATTGAAAATTCCTTCTCAAGCTGACTGATATCCAATCCCCAAAATGCATCAGGCTATAAAATTTGAACCCAATTCATAAACCGGTATTTAACTTATCACCCAGATAGATGAATGATTCTATCTGGGTATCCCTCTCGAACTATGTTCAGTTGGATAATGACTCAAAATTGAATTAACAGTAAGATGACAGCATCAGTATCAAATTCCAATTTTTTTATATGGGGAAAATGCATTTGCTGTGAAAAAATTTAAACTTGAAGGGATACACAACACATAAAATAAAACAAACCCTAAACTTCAAATGTTACCATGGCACACAAAAATGACTCCCCAGAATGAAATTTCTCGGTTATGACATCACAACTAAATAACCTTATTCTACTGTGATGTCATAAATGTTTTAAATTAATTTACAACTAGGATTCTAAGAAATGTGATTGTGATGTCACACAGTAAATAATGCAGCCGTTACTATAGGCTTTATGTTTTATAGCAACAAGACATGTGATGTCACAAAACACAGTAAGAGTAACTCGGCGACAGAAATATCGTTTCTATGGTAAACACAAACAAAAAATTGCAAGACAAAACTGAAAAAGAAATTCTTGATAGTTGATCTGCAAAGACAAAGTTACACAAATAAGTGAAGATGGAAAAACAACCAAATAGATGTCATAGGATTAGAAGTGCCATAAGCAAGACCGCTATTTGGAAATCCAAAGAAAACAGACAGCTATGGAGGCGAACGAATCGCATTGTTCCATTCAATGATGTTGAAAATGAGGAGAAAGTAGAAGAGGTCACAATGGTAATTGAACTGAATGCCATACATGTATATGAATGGCCAGAGATAGACTTTTCCAAATTTGGCAGAAATGGCTTTTACACAAAGGCTGATTGCACAATGGAAACTATCCTAAGGATGTCTCCAGTATATGACCCAAAGTTTTCACAATCTCAAAAGGAGAAAGACAAGCGTTCCCTACTTGAACGAGCACTACATAGAATGGAAAAGAGAGTAAGTATTAGCTTGAATACTACAGAATTGCAATAGACCATGTCCCAAGAACATACACTAGTAATCAGGATATCAGAGATCAAAGGGATTAAATTCAATTTTCATACCATCTCACACCAGTGGTATGGTGTGACTCAGTGTTAGACAGCAGGGGTTTAATCTCTTAATCCTTTCACTCCAAGTCACACCAAGTTTGTGGTGTGACTTGGTGTTAGTTTGTAGTAAAATTATTTTTTATACCAAGTAACACCAGAAATGTCACATTCACACCATATCCTGATTACTAGTGTAATGAGATACGATGCAACTTAGTTCTCATTGGGTAACTCTGATATTGGATTTTTGATGTGCATCTTTGAATTTCTCAAATGTCAATGATCACATAATATATATCCGATCTCTGTCATATTTGTACCACTTGCTAGTCTTGCTAGTGACCCTTAAAAGTGCAGAGAAAACCCGATATCAATGAATGGTAAACAGGACATATACTTGCTGAATAATGCTAAAGCAAAAAGGATAACATTAGATCTATGAAATGACAAACATAAAAAATGACAAACATAAACAAAATGACAAACATAAAAAAATTTGCAATGTAGAAAAAGATTTCAAACAACTTGAATTTTCTTTTAAGGCAAGAGAGGCCAAATATGCTGTTTCAGCTGCCCTGACAAAAAAATCAGAGAAGTTGGACAACCAAGACAAAGGTTCCCAGCAGAATATAAAGGATGACTCTGGTTTTTCATTATTCTAAATACAACCAATTTATCGACCATCCGATGGCTGACCTAGTTCTCACGGGGGTGGCAGAGAATTGTATGCCTTGCATCAACCTTGGGGTGGTACCATGTAGTACTTTCAAGGAACGATGCTAGAGACCATCACTAACACAGCAACTCTGTCAATCTATTGTATATATAATTGTAAATATTTACTTATATTTATTGTATTTAATGATGTTGTTGTAAATGCTCAAGTATTTAATGATGTTGTACTGTATGTATAAATTGTACATAATAAATTGTAAATATGTTCTTATTATATACACTAAATCTTGTTTTCTTATGTAAGTTCCCATCCTGAACTGACAAGATAAAAGACAACATTATTTAAGCTCTTGAATCCGAGTTTTTAAAATTGGTTGAAACCAGAAAATTACACTTTTTAAAAAGATTTTTGTGTTAAATGGATGAAAATTTTTCATATAAGAGCAATTTTTCGGCACTCTGGGTTTCAAGGTCATTTCGGTGGTGGCAAGAAATCTGGTCACTCCGGTTAATGAAGAGGTCAATATCAGAATACATATGGAACACCAACTAGATTAAGACAGGGCATTAGTATGCAAATTCCTCCAACTGCAATTTGTTACAGACATCGAACGCTGAACACCAAACACCAACTGCCAATTTGTTACAAACATCAACTACACACCTAAACACCTACCGCATCCACAAAAAAGTTGCAGACTATAACAATATAGCATCATTGAAACTTCATTCTTGTGCATGGTCCTACATCCAAAAGTCACTAGCCTATGAAACTTGAACCAATCCATCCATTTTGAGCTATCACCCGGGGCTGTGAATTCGTACGATCCGCGATCCGATCCGGATAAATTTCGTCATGTTAATGATGCATTGTGGGATTAATCCAAGAATTAATCCAAAAATCAGTGAATTCGCGCGATCCTGGGATTTATCTCAGGATAAATCTCAATCCACCTCTTGAGGTAAATTACTTTTTGGATAAATTTTATCTGAATTCCAATGCAAATTGGATAAATCTTGGGGATTCCCCCTCATAATCCGCGGATCGTACAAATGGATGAATAGACAGACAGCTTCTCTATATCCCTACAAACTCCATCAAGTGGGATAACAATTCGTGTTAAATAAGAAATGTTCTTACATTAATATTAAGTTGATGCTCTTGTTGCTGTTTAACCTTCTTTTCCAACAGTTCTTTCTGTTTCCTTAACTCTCCAATGTCTCCCTCTCCATGACTCTCATCTTGTGTGACTAGATCCTCCATATCATTATCTTCCAAACTCTAAAAGCAATACATATATAGAAAAAACATTACACAATAATTTTCATAAAGGAATTATTCATAAAGGAGGAATAAATAGCAAGGTACAGTACACAGTGAATATTTTAACAAGTATCAAACATTAGGCATTAACATGAAAAATGTCTTCTTAAATAGCTGTCAACATGTCAAAAGGCCTAAAACAATTCCTAAAAAACATGTCAAATTAACAACAAATACCATTTACAAATTACATACCTGGTCAAGTTTGGCCTGAGAAGATTCTTTACTAACTCTTTCATCCTTCAGTTTTGGAGCAACTGAATAGTACAATTTCTTCTCAACATTATATCCAAACATCGGGGGCTCAATGCCATTCAAGTATTCACCAAAGTACCTCAGCAGCGCAATCCTAGCACAATCACATGCCAGGACCTATAACAATAGAAAATTGCAATTTAGCCAAACATTGGTGGCGCAATGCCATTCAAGTATTCACCAAAGTACCGCAGCAGTGCAATCCTAGCAAAATCGCACGCCAGGACCTATAACAATAGAAAATTGCAATTTAGCCAAACATTGGTGGCGCAATGCCATTCAAGTATTCACCAAAGTACCTCAGTAGTGCAATCCTAGCACAATCGCATGCCAGGACCTATAACAATAGAAAATTGCATTTAGCCAAACATTGGGGGCTCAATGCCATTCAAGTATTCACCAAAGTACCTAAGCAGCGCAATTCTAGCACAATCGCACGCCAGAACCTATAACAATAGAAAATTGCATTTAGCCAAACATTGGGGGCTCAATGCCATCCAAGTATTCACCAAAATACCTCAGCAGCGCAATTCTAGCACAATCACATGCCAGAACCTATAACAATAGAAAATTGCAATTTAGCCAAACATTGGTGGCGCAATGCCATTCAAGTATTCACCAAAGTACCTCAGTAGTGCAATCCTAGCACAATCGCATGCCAGGACCTATAACAATAGAAAATTGCATTTAGCCAAACATTGGGGGCTCAATGCCATTCAAGTATTAACCAAAGTATCTCAGCAGTGCAATCCTAGCACAATCACATGCCAGAACCTATAAAAATAGAACACATAAATATGCAAAATGTCACCATGTCATCTGCCACTTGTTACAGATGCCGACCACCAAATCCTGAACGTTGAACGTCGAAAGACGTCAATGGGGTTCACTTTTCCAAAAATATAGGAGAGGGTTCACTTTTGACAACTTTGGTCCAAAATCACTTGAACAGTGCTCAGAATGGTGAAAAGCTCCATGATATTGAAAAAATTTATAGAAATCCAAGCAATTTTAGCTAGGGGTTTTCTTTAAAATCCATGATGTACAGTTTCACAATTGTGAACATGTTTTTGCATGACATGTTTAGCTGTTTCTCAAGTCTTTAGTCTTAATGGTAATTATCTATAGAGGGCGTTACTGTTGTACACCACTTACATTATCAGCATCGGGGAGTGTGAAGAGTTGACGGGGCATATGTGCCAGTAATGGTACAAACCCTGCAAGGCCAGCCTCCTCACTTAACAGTATTGGAATACCACCTGAAAATGAAATGCTTCAATGTACTGAAGAAGTATGGTCTCAAAATGAATCAAGTGAAAATCTGTAATAGTCTAGTCTGTGACCTCTGGCCCTCAGGTAATATCATATTGTCCCTCAGAATAAAACCCATATTCAATCCCTCCCAGTAAATAACCTTTATTTATTCCATAAATAAATATCACTCAAACACTCAAGCTGTCACCCTCAGCCAATATGATATTTTCCTTGGTCAATATCATATTTTCCCTCAAAATAAAATTCATATTCCATCCCTCCCATTAAATAACCTCTATCTATTTTTCCTAAATCAAGAGCTACCAACATACATGTATTCATTCTTACTTACCAGATGGTAGATTATGTTCTTCAAACATGTCAATAACAGAAATGTCAACACTCCTCAACAGGTTGATGAAATTGGCAAGTGTTTCCCAAACATCTATCTCAGGACTGAAATAAACAATTTAATCTTTTAAATAGATTGATGAAATTGGCAAGTGTTTCACAAACATCTATCTCAGGACTGAAATAAACAATTTAATCTTTTAAATAGGTTGATGAAATTGGCAAGTGTTTCACAAACATCTATCTCAGGACTGAAATAAACAATTTAATCGTTTAAATAGATTGATGAAATTGGCTAGTGTTTCCCAAACATCTATCTCAGGACTGAAATAAACAATTTAATCTTTTAAATAGGTTGATGATATTGGCAAGTTTTTCCCAAACATCTATCTCAGGACTGAAATAAACACAATAATCTTATAATAAATAGGTTGATGGACTTTGAAAGTGTTTCCCAAATTTCCATCTCTGGCCTGAAGCATATTAGTCAAGTTTATTTTTGAGAATAGACAAGGATAATTATTTGGGAGAACCTAAAATAAAAATTCTGAATTTTGTTACATACATTCTATACCACATAAATATTCAGGCAAGATGGATGAAGTAGAATAGATGGTATTTAAAAAATAGTAGTGACCCTTCACCCCTGGTCTCCGTAAAGGAGGTACTGACCCTTCACCCCTGGTTTTCCTAAAGGAGATACTGACCTTCACCCCTGGTTTCCCTAAACGAGGTAGTGACCCTTCACCCCTGGTTTCCATAAAGGAGGTACTGACCCTTCATCCCTGGTTTTCCTAAAGGAGGTAGTGACCCTTCACCCCTGGTTTCCGTAAAGGAGGTTCTGACTGACCCTTCACCCCTGGTTTTCCTAAAGGAGGTACTGACCCTTCACCCTTAGTTTCCGTAAAGGAGGTACTGACCCTTCACTCCTGGTTTTCCTAAAGGAGGTAGTGACTCTTCACCCCTGGTTTCCGTAAAGGAGGTACTGACCCTCCACCCCTGGTTTCCATAAAGGAGGTACTGACCCTTCATCCCTGGTTTTCCTAAAGGAGGTAGTGACCCTTCACCCCTGGTTTCCGTAAAGGAGGTACTGACTGACCCTTCACCCCTGGTTTTCCTAAAGGAGGTACTGACCCTTCACCCTTAGTTTCCGTAAAGGAGGTACTAATCCTTCACCCCTGGTTTTCCTAAAAGAGGTAGTGACCCTTCACCCCTGGTTTCCGTAAATGAGGTACTGACCCTTCACCCCGGGTTTCCATAAAGGAGGTACTTACCCTACACCAGGAGGCCTCTGCACTGGAGGTGGGTTCCAGGCAGGCATGTGACACGACATCCAATCACACCATGCCTTCACTGCTGGTAAAAGCTCCCTCAAATCAGGGGACACCAGGTCCTTGGGAAAATGATGACTGGCTAAATGACTTTTCAGAAGTTCGGAGCACCTCGCAACAAGCATTCCTAACATGTCTAAACCTACAAATAAAATTCCCATTGCAGATTCAGATTTCAATGCTTCATTGGTATCTGTTACACAGCAGAGTTAAATTGCTTCGTTATGAAGCATTTTGACTAATAGCTTCGAAACAAAGATATTTTGTGCCTGTGTATGTGTAACATCTCAAAAATCCTTTGTTACGAGGCTTTTTTGTCAAAATGTTTTTAATGCAATTAAAGTTACTGTGTTACTCAAACCATGTAATCTTGCCATGTAAATATTAATATACAAAACATACTTATTACTAAACCATGGAATTACAAGACACGCTCAACTACCAAATATAACCTACGACAGAATTAGCATTGAAGTTACAGATTTTGATCATAATGAGAGGGCATACCCTTGAAACCCATAGGAAAAAAACCTATCTGCTGTAGATTCATAGGTGATTTAACTTAAAACTAGCACACTCCACGTACCAGTCAAAAGCTGGTTAAAATGCTGAACTACTCTATATTCATTAGAGGTGTCATGGATACCCTTTCACAACTTTTGGACCTTAAATCGCCACAAAACAGCATTTTTCTTTCAATATTTTGCACCAAAAGAGGTTCATTCTTTTCACTCCTTCTCATTGAAGAGTTTTAAAGAGCTTTTCGCTACCAAATAGACCTAGATGATCAACTTATTTTAAACTTATACACGCAGTCACTCTGTTCTGAACCGTTCCGAAATTTTTCCGTTCCGAAGCAAAATGTTCCGAACCGAACCGTTCCGTTTTTTCTTTGTTCCGTGACATCTCTAATATTTATAGAGTAGAGATAATGTTAATGTTACCTAGTTGCGTGGCCTGTTCTTCAATCACAGATCTACACTCAGTTTCCAATACCCGATCATCTAAAAAATATAATCTGTAGTTACATATTGTATAATACAATGGTTTATGGTACAGTTATACATGTTTAAGAAAACATAATTGATTAAGGATTTAAGCCCTGGACTCAGTGCAATGTGGAATGACCATTCTTGAAGGTGTTGCTTTCCAAAATTTACATGAGATGCACAGCATCGAGTTTAGAAAACAACGCCTGAAATGAATGGTCATTCATTACACAACGCATTGAGTCTTGGGCTTAAATTCTTTTCACACATTGCAAAATATTTTCTACAAAATCATCTGAAAGACACAAAATCCCTAAATGAACATATTTCCAATGAAACTTTTTGCAAGGGTCAAGCTGGCAAAGTATCAATTTCAATCTGTAGAGTTGTCATCACCATGCAACTCTTTAACTAGTGACCTTGAGTTCGTTATTGGTTATATAATGGAACGCAGTTACGTGAAACGGAATGCAGTTTGCGTGTTCTGATTGACTGGAATAGGACACACCTTGCCTAATCTGTGAATCTGAAATATTGGACATTAATAAATGGACATGTGATGCTTTACCTTTTATAGCTGAATTCTCAATGGCAAACATGTTGATGGCTATAAGCTGTAGTAGTCTCTGATTGGACAATACTTCATGAGGGGTACGCGATAAGAGAGCTTCAAACTCTTGTAACATCTTCCCGCACATCTCATCGAAGTCCTCCATCCTAAATGTATAAATCGTACACAATGAATATACATAATGAAGAATACAGTACAATGAATATACATAATGAAGAATACAGTAAAACCTGTCTCTAGTGGACACCCTCCCTTCATACATACTATTCTGAATTACTCTTGCATCCTAGTCAGTTTTGAGAAAACAGAATTACGACAATAAGATGAGCTATTTATATTTGGGCGTGACATTTACTAAAGCTATCCTACCCTATTTTTGTAAAAAGCTTTCCATGAACAAGAAGAAAACTGAGCGTAAATCTCCTATTGAGTTCATTGGTCGAGAGATTGGAGAGGGCATCTTCCTGTTGTACGGTCTCTGTGACACTGGAGCCATCTGGTGAGACCCAGATTTCAATTCTGTCACTCTGCTCTCCTTGTTCAATTTCCAACGTTGGGGTCTCGACTGCTCTCCTTTTCCTCTCCTGTACTTCTGCCTATAACACAACAGTTCACATCAGTTTAAACAAACCAAAAAAGAAGTCTAAACAAACCCTGGTGCCCAGTGGCTAGTATTAATTCCTACACTCTGACTAGGATAGAGAATTTCAATTTTAGTGCTGATAGGATCACAGCTAATTGTATAATACCTGAACTTATGAATGAAATAATAAAAACAATAAATCACCTTTTTCCTAGCTTCGTCAAAAAGCGCCATGAGACTTTCCCTGGCTGTTAAAAATGGATTGCTGGCTGCCAGACTTCTCATGTAATAGTACACGGCATCAAGTTTCCTGCGCTGGAAACACAGAATGTTGGAATAGTTACCATTCATGAGTTGAAAAATGAATGTCTCAAATATGAAAGAGTAGTAAAACTGAGTTGAAATTCTTAATTATGCAAGATTTCACTGTTAAACTTCATCGAAGGTGAAGGAGTTCAAGTTAAACGCAGAAATAAATGAAGCCTTTAACATGGCAAAATGTCACAATCTGGAAAGTTATTGCAATTTGCTACAGAAATTGAGCATTGACACTCACTCATTGCCAAACTGTCAAACTCCTAATGCAAGTCACAAAAGGAAGACTTTACCACACTATGTCATCACTTCTTGGTCGTGACATAAAATTTTCTTTGTGGTTTTGATTACACTATTGTTTTGATTGCACTATTGATTGCACTATTGTTTTGATTGCACCATTGTTTTGAGTGCACTGTTGTTTCAATTTTCATATACAGTTACCATAAGTGCAATCACACCTCTAGAAGTGGAACACTTTTCAGAGTCCCAAGGCAGACTGACTTTAAGTGGAACACTTTTAGAGGTACCAAAGGTGTTTCACTTAGACAGATTTTACTGTATTGTCTTACTGTGTAGAGAGCCAAGATTGCCAGCTGGTTATAGGGTCGTCCATTCTTTGGAGCGATATACTGAGCTTTTAGGTACCAACTCCTGGCTCTACCATAGTTGACGCCATTGTGCACCTGCTCTTTGTACCTGGCGAGATCACCAAGGCAAATCATCACTCGTTGGCAACTGGAGAAAAATAAGTTTTTTCTACAATTCACTGACCCTGAGAGTAACATAGATCACTTCGCAATAGAGAACTTTTTGACTTGATTAAAAGATGTCCTCCCTTACAGCATTTTTCATCAAAGAAATTGAAGTAAAACTTTTGAGAACTTTTCAGTGATTTGGTGTCAAAATTGTAAAATTTTTACATCCTCGTAATCTTTTTTAAAAACTAACCCCCCTTTTCCAGCTTTCAGTGCAATCGCCAAAAAAATTTCGGTTTTCAGTCAGGGGTGTGTGATTGTGGCATAAGCCCAAAAAGATTAAGATTTGTTTTGAATTCTACAAAAATTGATGTAACTTCCTTCGAAATTGAGCTACAGTAGTAGCTACAAATAAAAAGCATTTTAAAGCTTTTTTCTTCCTCTCTCTAACGGTTATATTTTCATTGGTTTTTTTTGGGTACGGCTATGATGGACCTGTATCTGGCTCATACAGTATCATTCATACTGTATCTAAACTCACCATAGAATAGCTAATTTAACACTTCGTCTCAGATTATCAGGATGCCGCTGTAGTTCACTGATGAAGACATTCAGATCAAATTTGTAGCAACTCTCCAACTTTCTTAACAAACTTTCATAGAAAAAGCAGCCCTAGAACAACAAATTCATAATTAGATAGAGGCATGGAAGTGATTGGGTGCTGTCTTAGCTAAAAATCACCCTGCACCTATCACCATGTATATACATGCTTGCTTTGCACCCAACTGAAAATCACCCATTTCAAAAAAACCTTGCATCCGGATAAACTCACTACGCATCCAATGGAAAAAATGCCCACAATGCAACCTGTTGAAAATAAATTAGCTTAAAGTTGAGAATTGGAAAAATGAGGAAATGTTTTACCAAAATATCTTCTCCATCGCAATGAATAAAATTACCATTTTAATCCAGTTGATAAACAAGGCATTCACATGCAAAATCTCGCCATTTGTTACAGATGCCAAACACTTGCTGATCACCATACACAAAAAATGAAGACTTTAACAATATCTGTTGGTGACATAAAAATCGAAAAGAAAACTGCATACAATGTTCAATTTGATGAATGTGTTAAGGTAGTAATAATATAAATAACAGACCTCCTCTAGAAGTTTCACTAGATGTTTCTTCACCATGTCTTCATTATGTTCTGCCACTTGTTTGCGCATCAGTTCAATAACTTGATAATAGGCAGATTTCCATAGTAACTGATCCACATTGTGTTTGCAAGAGTAGTCAAGATCTTGTAGAATGACCAACTCTAGTCTTCTCTCAACCTCTAGTCTGAAAAAATTAAAACTTGAATAAATGTCTTAAACACAGAGGTGAGGTATAAAATCATAATAGAGAATATTACAAGCTTGTGACAAAGTTCTTTGTGACATAACCTCATTTTTAGCTGGTGACATCATTTATTATTCTTTCTTTTGTGACTCCTTGGGTCTTAAATACCACATTAGAGAGGTTAAGATTAGCATAAAAATATACGTGTACCTATCCCTATCCGTATGTTTGTTACGGATACGTATAGGTAATGCGTATTGCAAAATAAGTTTAAGATTAACGTAAAAGGCTACGAAACCGTATGCTACAATTAATGATAAAATTAACATCCTAATTATAGAATGAAAACCCTGCGATGGCTTATATGGCATATTCCAGTACATGTCACCTCCAAGAACTGTTATTTACTTCGTGGTGTAGCTACTGTAGTTGGGAGGGGGTGTTGCTTGTGGGCCGGCTAATGGGGCAGTGACTTAAGGCGAAATGTTAAATTTCTAGCATGATCCAGCAATGAGAGTGACCAAATAGTAAAGTTAAACAATTAAAACCACAAGAAAATGGCTGATTTCATACATTTACAATAAGCAAAACTGACGAAGAATGTGTAAATTCAACAATTTCATGCATCATCACATGGCATCGTTTATCGCATCAATGAATGTGTTCGACCACTTAATTTCTATGCAGATCGAATGGGAAATGTTTGTTGTTACTATTTTAAAGTTTAATGGATGATATTTGATCTAGAAATGACATAATTTGTTGGATAAAAACATACGTTTTCGAATTACCTATCTTCGGCCATTTATAGGTAATTACGTATCGTAAACCCTGTAACTTAGGTAAAATACCGCTTAGTGTAATAACAAACTACGTATAGGTATAGGTAAATGGGCTATTTACGCTAATCTTAAACTCCCTACTATAGACAATAAACTTTACCTTAGTTTCAAGAGAGCATCAAGGGTGATGTTAGAGGGTAGTCTCCTGGCAATTAAACTAGAGAGTTGGGTCTCTAATACCACACTATAGACAATAAACCTTACCTCAGTTTCAAGAGAGCATCAAGGGTGATGTTAGAGGGTAGTCTCCTGGCAATTAAACTAGAGAGTTGGGTCTCTAATACCACACTATAGACAATAAACCTTACATCAGTTTCAAGAGAGCATCAAGGGTGATGTTAGAGGGTAGTCTCCTGGCAATTAAACTAGAGAGTTGGGTCTCTAATACCACACTATAGACAATAAACCTTACCTCAGTTTCAAGAGAGCATCAAGGGTGATGTTAGAAGGCAGTCTCCTGGCAATTAAACTAGAGAGTTGGGTCTCTAATACCACACTATAGACAATAAACCTTACCTCAGTTTCAAGAGAGCATCAAGGGTGATGTTAGAGGGTTGTCTCCTGGCAATTAAACTAGAGAGTTGGGTCTCTAATACCACACTATAGACAATAAACCTTACCTCAGTTTCAAGAGAGCATCAAGGGTGATGTTAGAAGGCAGTCTCCTGGCAATTAAACTAGAGAGTTGGGTCTCTAATACCACACTATAGACAATAAACCTTACCTCAGTTTTAAGAGAGCATCAAGGGTGATGTTAGAAGGCAGTCTCCTGGCAATTAAACTAGATAATTGGGTCTCTAATACCACATTATAGACGATTAACCTTACCTCAGTTTTAAGAGAGCATCAAGGGTGATGTTAGAAGGCAGTCTCCTAGCAATTAAACTAGAGAGTTGGGTCTTTAATATCACACTATAGACAATAAACCTTACCTCAGTTTTAAGAGAGCATCAAGGGTGATGTTAGAGGGTAGTCTCCTGGCAATTAAACTAGAGAGTTGGGTCTCTAATACCACACTATAGACAATAAACCTTACCTCAGTTTCAAGAGAGCATCAAGGGTGATGTTAGAGGGCAGTCTCCTGGCAATTAAACTAGAGAGTTGGGTCTCTAATACCACACTATAGACAATAAACCTTACCTCAGTTTTAAGAGAGCATCAAGGGTGATGTTAGAGGGCAGTCTCCTGGCAATTAAACTAGAGAGTTGGGTCTCTAATACCACACTATAGACAATAAACCTTACCTCAGTTTCAAGAGAGCATCAAGGGTGATGTTAGAGGGTAGCCTCCTAGCAATTAAACTAGAGAGTTGGGTCTCCAATGGTAACGCATCATGTAACAACTTCCTGGCTTCTTCCTCTTTACCACTACCAGCTTCCTCAGTGCTAGCATTATAGCTGGAATTTTTTCAAATATAGGATTCATAATACAAAATAAAAGACAAAATGGCACCACCTCCTATTTGTCGCACACATTGTCCGCATGACATTGTTATAGATGCCAAATGCCAACTGCCGAACACCGTCCACAAAACAGTTGGAGACTATAACAAAAAGTCACTACTTCTGGTGGTGACATAATAAAAAAAATGTTAGAGTTAGAATAATGGCATTCTGATTCATCAGAGCCCTTCTTTACCTTTGTCTGTGTATTCAAAAGGATATTAGAGGCTGGGATCACACTATGGAACAATGGGAAGATATGTAATTTGACATTCAACTTTTTTAGTAATAAGAGACCTAGTTCACATTTCATTATTTCAAACAGGCTTAAGTAGTTATTTGAGGCCACCTTCTTATTTCACTTAACTTTGTCAAATATTAAATATAATCTCATGCAGTGTAATATATACACAGTGATCTCCCCAGCATTTAATCAAGTGGGAGCAGCACCCACCTGAGAAGTTAAAAACAGGCTGTTTGAACACTGATAAATACTAACATGTGATTATCCAATACTCAAGTGATTATATAAATACTCACATGTGATTATATAAATACTCACATGTGGTTATATAATTTATAAATACTCACATGTGGTTATATTAATACTCACATGCGATTATATAAATACTCACATGTGATTATATAAATACTCACATGTGGTTATATAAATACTCACATGTGGTTATATAAATACTCACATGTGATTATATAAATACTCACACATGATTATATAAATACTCACATGTGATTACATAAATACTCATATGTGGTTATATAAATACTCACATGTGGTGATATAAATAATCACATGTGGTTATATAAATACTCACATGTGGTGATATAAATACTCACATGTGGTAATATAAATACTCACATGTTGCAATATAGATACTCACCTATGGTAATATGGATCCCTAGTGTATGTATCATCTGTGTATATACTACTATCACAATACAAGCCTTGCTGATAATATCCCCCATGTCCATACCCCTGATCATATCCTCCTTGATCATATCCACCTGTTATCCTTCCCTGCTGCTCATAATCTTCCTCATAATCGTCCTTAAACCTGAGCTGGTTTGACACTTTATGATCGTGAGGTTTACTAGGGTCATACAGCTTCCGATGGGAGCCCCTACCACGTGATGAGTATTGACCTCTACCCCTGCTGGGAGGGGGAGGATCCCTCTGATGGGATGTGTGAGTGTGGGATGCGTGAGGGTGGCTCTGTTTATGTGGATCCACTGGTTCACGTTCTAGCCGGAATATTCCTCCTCCATGTCCACTTTTTGAGGGGTCGTCATTTTCTATTGATTTATTACCACTTTCTCTTAATCTTGTGTCACCTTTAGGACCCTCTGAGCTGTCACTTGAAACTCTATTCCTCGATGATCTCGAATTGCTGTATTCATTTTTATTGCTCCATTTTTGAGATCTAGACTCATTCTCACTGAATCTTCGCTTTTCATGTCTATGTACATCATCAGGCTTTTTGTCCCTTTCTGAATCCCTGCCCCTTGAGTACTTCAAATCCCCTTCAGAATCCCTCCCCCTTGAAAACTTTGAATCCCCTTCTGAGTCCCTCCTCCTTGAGTACTTCAAATCTCCTTCTGAAATTTTCCCCCTTGAGTACTTCAAATCCCTATCTGAATCATTCCTCCTTGATTGTTCTGAATCCCCTTCAGAATTCCTACCCCTTGAGTTTGTCCTATCCCTTTCCGAATTCTTCCCCCTTGAGTACTTTGAATCCCCTTCATAATCCCTCTCCCTTGAGTACTTAAAATCCCCTTCTGAATCCCTTCCCCTTGAGTACTTTGAATCCACATCTGAATTTCTCCCCCTTGAGTACTTTGAATCCCCTTCAGAATCTCTCCCCCTTGAGTACTTTGAATGTTTTTCTGAATCCTTCCCCCTTGAGTGCTTTTTTAAATCTTTTTCAGAATCACTTGGATGTGCTGCTTTATTTTTTCCAGTTGCACTTTTCCTATTTGTTTTCCTGGCATGGTTGCCATTTCTATTACTATTCCTGAAGTCTTCATCAGCACCATCTTTACCTTTAAGTCTGGCTTCAAGCTCATCATCTTCAACTTCATAGTGTTCACTATAATCTCTATGTTCATCATTTCCAGAGTTGTTTCTTTTTTTCTCACCATCTTGAATATCACCTTTCTCAACCTCTTTTTCAGCTGAGGAATGACGCCATCTATTATTCTTCCATGATTTATTTTTACTAGATTTTGTTGCACTGTTTTCTAATTGTGTCTTTTCATTGTTGAAATTTGTATTTTCAAATACCATTGTAGGAATAGGACCATCGTGTGTATCTGATTCAAACTTTGGTTTCCTCTGTTCGGTCCTTTCTTTGTGGACTTTATTAGACTCAGGAGAAGCTGTCGTTGGTTTATCTCGTTGTTTTTCAACTTGTCTCGTCTTTTTGGCACCTGTTGAATATAAATTCTGATATATACATACATGCACATAAACTCTCAGTGCGCTTCCCACATTGGAATCTCTGAGGGGCAGCACATGCCCATAACCAGCTTTGCCAAGGGTGTTTACTTTTCAAAAAATCAAGGGGGTTCACATTTGACAACTTTGACCAAAAATCACTTGAAAAGTACTCAGATTGGTAAAATAAAAAACTACATGATTTTGAAATAGGGTCTGAGCACCTCTGATTTACCCATGACACAAATTAATTTCCTATTTCGTTTTACTAGTTGCAATTAATTCAATGTACCTCCTAAAATATGTTACTAAAATATGAGAAAACAGAAAATGTATAAAAATCAAAACTCCTAAAATCTGTCATTTAAAATAATCTGAAAATATTTAGGTTTGAGAACCTGATCGGTTTTAATATTCTATAATAAACAACAAATCCTTCATTCAAAAAGCTAAAGACTGAGCAGACATTTTATGAGAATCTATTGTATGAACTGTAGAGCACATTTCTTGAAGGTTAAATAATTTACAACAATAAAAGATGCCAAAATCAGTCATGAGCGTATACATGTGTTTTGTGTATTTTAAGATGGAAATTCATTATGCTTGAACTTGGAGCTAAACATGTACACTGTTCTTGTATCATTTTCCAAGTTTGGTGCCATACATTGAGAATAATATACCGATCTGTCAGGCCCGTAGCCAGGACTTGCCAAGGGGGGGGGGGTTCACTTTTTGAAAAATTCCAGGGGGGGTTCACTTTTGACAATTTTGTTCCAAAATTGGCCAAAATCACTTAAAAAGTGCTCAGAATCTTGAAAACTGCATGATTTTGAAAGAATTTTTGGCCAGGCCTGAGGGGGGCTTTGCTCGAACCCATCGAACCCCCCCTGGCTACGGTCCTGTCTGTGGCATGAGTTTGAGTACCAGTTTTTTACAACAATACATACCTTGTTTATGGCTAACAGTCTCCTCTCCACTTGCACCATGTACAAACTCCTGGAACAAACAATAAATATTGTTTGAAAATCACAAGGGGGGGGTCTGATAATTTCCCCTCTTGTGTGGAAAGAAATTTAGGGCCCCAGAGTTGAAAAGTTGGACCCAATTTCTTACAAATAGGACTTAATTGAAAAATAATACCCAGTAATATAGTGGCAGTTTGTAACATAAATTGTCCAATTAATGTAGGAAGAAGGTCCTAAAATTTTGTTCAATTGTTCAAGGCTACTGGAGATAATGAGCTTTATAATCAATACTTTATTAAATGATCAAATCTTAAGTTCCTTCATTCAACAATAATATTCTGTAATTACATGTAACGCTAACTGGAACATTTATGTTGCGATATTAAACGCAAACAGTTTACTACATGTCAGTAGATCCCCACATTGACTACATGTTTCGTTGGGAAAGAATTTTTCTGGAAGACATGTACCTTTTCAGAAGGAGAGCCATCTGTTTTTTTCAACCCTTTCTCTTCACTGACATCCTCATTAAATCCCGCAACTGCTTCATTGACAACATTGATCACCAACCTATCATCCTCAATGTCTACTTTCCTAGTAGGAATATCTATTGATGGTTGTGCAGCAGGAGGTGGTTGTGCAGCTGGAGGTGGTTGTGCAGATGGTTGCACCGCCTCTTTGGTCTTTGCAGCTCCCAGTGAATCTTGCCTTGGTTTCGGTACATATATCGCAACATCTGGTCTTTTCTTTCTTGTCTTTTCTTTTTTGGGAGATTCGATACCCTGGCTTGGGGTGTCCTGCTCAGAGCTTTTTGAAAGGCGTGAGGCGCCTGGTGTGTAAATTTCCCTGTCTGGTCGCCTGCGACGATCTAGACTGCCTGTTTTCTCTGAAATTGTAAATCAAAATCACAAATTCACAATTTAGGTATCATGACAATTCTTGTAGGCTAGAGTTCTAGAGTCCATTTCACTGCTTCAGTTCGTCAGTAGAACGGCAAAAATAAGAAATTGGGAGACTATTGTGCAATAATATATGGAAAAGTATATTCATAATGTACATGAATGACATTTGTATATTTCAGATTTTTTAGTTTTTTGTGCAATAAGCCTGTGCCGTCTTGTAATTTGAAGAATTTCAGCCATGTTAATCTTAATGAAAATAACATGGCAGAGAAACATCCAAATATAAGAGGCCACACACTTTTGAAGCCAAACTAGAAGCAATCCAAGATATACAAATGTCATTCGTGTACATTATGAATATACTTTTCCATATATTATTGCACAATGGTCTCCCAATTTCTTATTTTTGCCGTTCTACTGACGAACTGAAGCAGTGAAATGGACTTTAGAGTGATAACCTTTTTCTCTCAGCCCTTCATTGAATGAGAGGATAGAATCCCAGGGATAGAATTTGCAAGTAACCACCAAGTAACCAAGTATGCACACATCAAACGTTATGACCAAACATTACTATGTCATTTTCAACCTGTGTGAAGCTATTCAAGCTATCAGAATAGTGGCAAAAAGATATTTGACTGTTCAAATTTGTTTCCTTTTTTTGAAAAAATCATAAATTTTGTCTAAACGCTCCTATGAAGAACACCAACATGCATGACGCTAAAAACTCTACACTGCATTGCTAGTTCACATTACCTTTATGAGGCTCTAAAGATAGCTTCTTTACTCCATCAATGAGATCTTGGTGTGTTATTTTAACAATTTTACACTTATTTTGTTCCATGTCCATTTTGACCTCAGGGATTGCTCAATATTTCATTTTATCTGAACGACGAACATGCGCAAACTAAAATGATCTGATTGGCCAAACTGAAATCTACGCACGCGCGTTAGGCCGTTTGATTTTAGTTTATATTTGTATTTTAAGATGGTGCTGTCAGTACTCAGTAGTGCAACTACTCTATGATAAATAGAGAAATAAAAGATGTCGCTGTCATTTGGGCCAATTCTTGCTTGGGCCCCTTGTTATATACGTTTATACCAATAGTTCTGGAAAATATGTTTTCTCTATCATCCAGATCTTTTTATGTTGTTGTGTCTTACTTCTTAGGTGGGGAGGGGTTAGTAGTTGTTATAAATGCTAACTGGACATGGGTTTATCAGCGACTATTGACCACATCTGGCTGCCGGCTATAAGCTTGTATCCCGGGGCTTGTATTCGCGAATACATGTATGCATGTAGCCGACATGCGTTTGTTGAATTTGCGAATACAAGCTTAGCCTCGTGTCTACATGTATTTCATTCTTGAACTGGCACGGTTGATTGTTTCAACATCTATGGCAGATCTTGGGTAGACTATTCCAGGTGTTAACCATTCTGTTACCAAGGACATTTTTCCTCACATCATAGCTTAAGTCTTTCAATGATGGTACTAGTTTTGTTGTTCTTCTTTCTCTTTCAATTTTGTCAATATTGTCCCAAGAATACTAAGAGCGGGGACTGGTATTGGAAGGTAGATCTCTCCTAAATTACTTTTTGTAATGCATGTTAAATTAACCAAATTCCAATTTGAATTTCTCAACTTGCAACCCATCGATTTCCAAATAATTTGTGCTGTAGTAGTACCATTGGAGTCCCCAAACAGGTTTTTAATAACTACTTTCTCATACCACTAAATAAACAAACCGAGTAAGGGTAGTACACCCAAAGTGCGGAAAAACCGCGGGATTATGTGACTGATTTTATTTCAGGTGAACTGTTCTATCAAGGTTGTGAAAAAGGTGATTTCAGGTCATCAATGATGCTTACTCACACTTTGTTCTTTTAATTAACATCGCGATCGATTATCTCAAATTGATTTATAATTTTTGTTAACAACGAGTTTGAAAATAAAATACTTATTGTTTCTAGTTTACTGGGTGTCCCAAAAAATTATCCTCGAATGAAACGCGAACTTAGAACTCTTTTTCCTTTATCGAAAAAGCTGACCTTTTCAAATGATAAAAGATAATTCAAAGCTAACATGTGGCCCACGATTAGTATTGTGTGTGTATTTATGCCTACAGTAGGTCACATTTGCTCCGATTCATCGGCCGGCGCCCGCCTGATTGCAGTATTTTGTTCAAAACTGATTTCAACTTGCTTCAAATTGACCAAACCTTTTTAAAATCAAGTAAAAGTTCTCCTGAAGGAGTTCACATCTGACATCAAATTTGAGATTTGACCTTTAATTTTGAACGAAATACTCAATCGGCTAGACGCCGACCAATGAATCGGGGAAATGTGACCTAGACATTACATACTCGTAGGTCCATGGTATTTACAAGTATGATACAGATATTCATGATAATCAAATTGTCTGTCGTATGACCTATGACCACATCTTTAAAAATCATTCCCTCATCGTTATTCCATGTTTGCCTCGCTACAATTTCGGGGGGACACCCTGTACTGTAGAAATACAGAAAGATAATGGTTTATTATTAAACAATGGAATGCAGACTGTATGGGACCCCATCCAGCTGTTCATGGCGTATTCCCACGATCTGAACAAATCTCACAAACCCTATGACATGGCATTATCTCTCGGCGTCCGATGAAGTCAGTACCCACAAGCCTCCACCGGTGGACCTGCTTCTTCCATATGATCTTAGCAAAATCAGAATGCGGCGCAGTACTCATCTAGCTAACCGAGAGCTACTGAGAACTGTGTTCACATTTTGTAATTAATGTCTTGTTTTTTATTCGTACTTACTACTTACTAGACTGCTAGATCGGGTACCAGATGTTTCGTGGTTCAGGCTTGTTCCCGTTGGATGTTTTTCAAGGCACTCAGTTATGTGCAAATATCGTAGCGAAAGTGTCATTGGGGAAATACCATTTTTTATAATAAGCTACAAGTCGAACGGGAAATAAGCACTACCAGGCAAAGGCCCGTAGCCAGGGGGGTCACTTTTGACAATTTTGGCCCATTTTTGGACCAGATTAGTCAAAAGTGAACCCCCTGGCCTAGAATGTTCCAAAAAGTGACCCCCCTTGGCAAATCCTGGCTACGGGCCTGAGACATGTTAGGTGGATGGCACCATGGGCATTAAGCACTTTGGCACCATCGAGAGAATTAATCATTTAAATGTATTGATAAAAGATTTAGATAAAAAGGATCAGATAGCTATGGTACAAGCGATCGTGAAGTTCACCACGGCAATAATCTGTACATGAGGTTTTCAGATGTGTCAAATAAGATCTCCATTCGCCCAAGCCTTTCAAAAAGCATTGTAAAGCATTCCTACGCACTGGCTATTACAACCCAAAACAAAGTATATATCTTATTTATAACTAGGCTTATTTTAAACAAGGACAGATTACATATGAAAACACTACATCTGCATCGAAGTTTAATTTCGTTATATTCATAAGCCTACATGGATCTCCTTTGAGTTTTGACTTTCAGGCATTGGGATTTGACAGAAAATCATTCAAACTGCTCATTTCAAGAAAAACAATACAAATGATAGAAAATCAACTATTGATATTTCTGGTTTTGCATTAAGTCGGTTGGGAGATTAAAGTGCTTGACGTAAACCGTACGTTTACCCGGCAATAATCATCGTCCTCCCATTCATTGCATTTACTTGTTCGTGGAGAATAAAAGTATAAGGAAAACAGTTGTAACTAGGTCCCTAAAAAGCAATTGAAAGGGGACAACTGCCACCCCCGGGGCACATTATATTACACGCTCACGTACACGTTTTCCTAAAAAACGTGTAGCTTAACGTCCCTAAGTCCCTCCCCAACTCGGATTGGAGATTCCACGTACGACATGTACGACAAAATCTTGAAAAATAATCTAATTACGATTGCCTTGGGAGATAATGGGTTCAGTGAAACATTATATGCTTAGTATTTTTACTTTTTCTCACACAGTTTGAATTGTATAGTCTCAGACAGTCTGTAAGGAGATTTTGTAAGACGATTCTATTCAGTTAAATTAATATCTTAACCTACACCTCTCCAAAAAGCAATCGTGGGTTGTTCCGAAGTATCGAGTGGTATTTTGAGCTGTGGTGAGAGAATATATGTATGAATGACAAATGGGTAAATGTTGTGATGAAATGTCCCAATTGTCTAGCGGTGGAATATCGAATGGTAGTTGGTTGACGATTTCGGCCTTTAGTAAATTATTAATCATCATACATTATATGAGGCGTATCCGCGTTATTCCATGGATTATAATCAGAAGCAATTTGAATCCAAATGAAAAAAAGACTATAGTAACGGAAGCACAAAGTATCATTGGTATTGGTTAATTGAATCATATCTTTTCAAGTTGTTTTATCGGTTTGCCTTATTAAAGTCTGTTGTCGGAGAGTAGTAAAGGATTGATTTTCAACCAGTCACAGCTAAACCTTTGTATTATAAAATTATACATCTCGTATCATGGATTTGTAGGTCTATTCTCTCTTGAAAAATCTAAAACTACGAAAAAGAAAATCGTTAGATTCGGTCACAGTAGATTAAATCTGCACAGAAGGGCTCTTTATTATTTATTTCAAAATATTTTGAACTTTTTTTGAAGATTGGACTTGAATGAGCGTTTTAAAGGTACGAAAGGCGCTTTATTACCTTTTTAAAATCATAGTGCAGTTCTCAAGAGTTCACATCTGACCTTAGATATGACCTTTGGTTGGCCTAATTCAGTGACCCTCGAAAGGTCAAAAAGTTGATGTTATTTATTTAATTACAGTAGTCCATAACAAAACATAACACCAAGTTAAGAAAGTAAAAATCACAGTTTATTCTTAATCAAGTAAATAAGTACAGCAACTGAAAGTGTTAAAACTCACAGAGTCAAACTACATAATAAAATCTCCAATGCTGTAATACAATTAATCAAAAATCAGAACTCTCATGTTTAACAAGTTTGTGCGTATCTTATCTATCTTAAACATGTTAAAGCTGAGACTAACACAAAAACACCAAAACTCAAGAACCGCTAATGTCAATGATCAGGCAACATTCTGATTCATCAGTCTCATTTTATCTAACGCCTTGGTGAGTATTCCAAAGGATAATACTTGCTGTGGATCACACAATGATCAGACAATGGTATATGAATAAAAGTCAACCAAACATCCCCCCTGAGTACACCCCCCCCCCTGAGTACAAACTTTACTAATGCACTGAGACCATGCTATAAATACAGACTACTGCTATAACACTCTACTATACCTAACCCCTAGAAATGCATAAGATACTCTGTTTGTCCACTTGTATTGTTTAGTATATTTTTGAAAGTACCTTATTAACATCTAACGTCATCCGATAAACCATTAATAAGGAACAGACAAATAAAAACAAATAACATAATCATTACTAATAAGCCAAAAGGGTTGCTCATGAACACCCAATGCAAGGTATAGTAGAGTGTATGATCATGAGTATTTTAGCACAAAATTAACACAGCATAAAATATGTATATAAACGGGATTATATAATACAATGTATCTGATTTGAAACAAAGAAGTTTCAAATTACATATGACAATTTTTGTACAATTTTTGGCTAATTTGATTGCAGTCATTTAGAATACATACTAATGGACGTTTTCGACAAATCCTGAACCTTATATTGAACCACTGAAACTATCATAAGGTTTATTGGCTAGATTTTATGATGCCATACTTTGCCAGTGCAGCAATACTATCTAGTATTTATTGATAATAATAAAAATGTAAATTTTTGAAAATTAGCATTAAGCAAATCCGGTTTCTGTCATGAAACTGTAAAATGACATCATAGCCAATAGGTGGCA